GGGGGGGGGTGCAAATGCTAACTGAAACAAACAAACACGCACCTTTTGCGTCAATCTTGAAGATGGAAATCAGCGAAATGTTCACTTGGTTGAATTCTGCTGTATCATCTAAAAAAATTAACATATATGACACTTAAAAATGGGTTTTCGTTCAACACTGCCATAAAAATGAATGATACATTTATAAAAGAATGCAGTGGTACGTAACTCAATTTACTCATATAGACAATCAATTTCCCCAGGAGAAATGGAACTAAGTGCCAATAATCCATTCCAGACCGCAAAAAAAATAAATAAATAAAAAAAAAAAATAAAAATAAAAAAAAACCCTAACATTTTTCCGGGCTTGTTGTTTGTATAGTTTTCTTGAATAAAAATAGCATCGTATGGTCTAGAACATTGGTTGTCAAATGGGGGTCATATGAGCGAGCTTCAAGAGGGACGTGAGATTTTAAAATATATTTAAAAAGTAGCAACCGTACAAAATTATTTTAAAAGTGCTCCAGCACTCTGTTTTAAGTCATTTTTTTCCCCCAAACCAAAAATGTTTTCCACTGATTAGGGGGTACTTGGCTGAAAAAATATTTCACAGGTCAAGTCAAGGTACTACTTTACTTTCTATACATCCAGTACCTGTCTGGAGTAGTTGGGTGAGAATATCTGCCACCTTGAGGATGTTGTCGCCAGTCGCAAACCGCGGGAGCTCTTTAATAGCCTGCCGCCGAATCTGGACCAAAGTGAACAGGCAGTCGTAAGATATTAACAGTGAATGAACGTGGCCTGAGAATAAATCTTGAGCGACTGCACATAGTCGTCACACTTACTGACACGTCGTCATCTTCACAGAGATCCAGCTGGGCATTGATGGCTGCGTCCGACAACTCGGGGAAGCTGCTGAAGAACTTGGGGATGAATTGAGCCGCCAGGCGCTTCTCCTTGGGCCCGCCCTTCACGCCATCCAAGATGACTTGGTAGGCATCTTTGTGCTGCAGAATGCAAAGAACAAGGAACTAATTGGTTTTGTGCGTGTGTTTAACATTACTGAAGACACTGACTGATTTCCTCATTCCCAAAAAGTAAATTGATGTTAGAGTAAATACAGGCAAACTGCGGTGGGGTGTGGGAAGCAAAGCTATGATGAATTAAAAAAAAAAAATGAAAACTCATGCTAAGATAGAAAAATATGTTTGAATATGTAAATGTGACTATAATAAGAACAAATAGAGAAGTCTAGAACAAAAGTTATTCTAAAGCAGTTTTGGACAGGTGTCGAACGAAGGAAAACTGAAGAGGAGTTTTAAGTAAAAGAAGGAAGGATACATAATGAACAGCAGCAGGTCGGGACAGATTGAGGACAGTGGTCAGGGGGGAAAACAGTTCTGTGGTGGAAGCAAGGCAAAAGTGACTATGAAGAGAGAAGAAGAAGAAATAAATGCGTCAGAGGGAAAGAAGGATGGGTGTAATGAAAGTAGGAAGGAAGGATACAAGAAGGAAGGTCTGAGGTGGAAGGAAGGTAAGAAAAAATCAAGGTTAAGTGACTGACAAAAATAGAACGATGCATGAATAAAACCTGGTATGATGCACGGAATCAAGGAAACAGAAAAACAAGCTTAAACAAAGGTGAGAAAGAATGCATAAAAAATAGGTGTGATACAAGGAAGGAAGGAAGAGAAAAAACACGTCTGAGATGAAAGGAAGGAGTGAAGAAGTTAGGCAGAAAAGCAAATTTAAGATGAGGGAGAAAGTAAACGAAGACAGGAAAAGAAAAAAAGAAAGGACAAGGAAGGTAATGAAGAAAGGAGGTCTGAGGTGGGAGGAGGGCAAAAAGGAAAGGAATGAGGTAAGGAAGGAAGGCCAGAAGTAAGGACACAGAATTTAAAAAAAAAGTTGTGATGGAGGGCAAGGGGAAAGGAGGTCATGTCGACTAGTAGCTTTCAGTGAAGGAAAAAGGATGGTGGTGGATTGAGGGAAGGAAGGAACGAAGGCAAAAATGAAAGGAGTAAGGAAGGAAAAGAGGCCAGGGGAAAGAAAGAGGGGAAGGAAAACAGGACCGAGTCAAACTCCAAAAAGAAGGAAGGAACAAATAATAGCAGACGTTTCAGCCAAGGAAAGATGGATACAAGGAAGGGGGGGGGGGGCAAATACACATGATCGAAATGTCATCAAATTAAAAGATTTCACAGTACGTCCCTACCTTCTGCGGATCCCGGTATTAATGGAATATGTTAATATTTTTTAAAGTCAGACGGGACAAATGCTTTCAAAGTCCGAGTGCCCTCTCATTACGAACAAAACAAAACGTGGCTCGTAGCACCTTCGACTGTGAATTAACATGGCACCATCACAAGGCTAACAGCTAGATGCTAGCTTAGCACCCCCCACTCACAACATAAGCTTACGTAAGCTAGCAGCCAGCAACATTGGCCTGAAAATGAAGATTTGGCGTTTTCTAGACGCGACATAAGCAATGCAGAGGCTTTATTTTTTGGTATTTTCTTCATTTACCTGGCTGACGTCGTCCTTGGCATCAGCAAGGACCCCGTAGCTTCGATAGAGATCCTCGATAGTGACCGCCATCAGCGTGCGTCCGATGTGCCTGTCTGGCGCTCAGCTCAATGCAAAAACAAACAAGACGCCAAAATAATCCCCTTTGGTTCTTTTTTTATGCTGTTTAACGGGGTGCTGGCACTATTTTGCACTACTTCGTTGTGAACGTAGCACCAAAGAAGGCGAGCAGGGTGGCGAAATTTCGAGAAGCTTGTGAATAATGAGCCCCAGTAATTGTCCGCCAACCCAGCAACGTTCTATGGACGAGAGGAAGGCTAAACGAAGCAGCTACGGAAGTGACGACGGCGCGCATGTGCAGGTTTGGCCAACCACAAGGCGAGATGAAGAAACACGTGACATAAAGTTGAGCAAAAAATGCCGCGCAGTTATGGCGCTCATTTGACGCATGCATCCATTCATACATCCATTTTGTATTCAGTGGTGGCAAGTGTAATTTTAGAAATATTGATTTAACCTACTCGAGTAAAATAAAACGTAAACTCAGAAATGCACAGTTACTTAAAAGGACAGTGTGTAAAAATAAGTTGATTTTTCACGGTTTGTAATAAAATAACACTATTAAATTTAATAATGTGCAAAAAATATGTTCTTTGACATCGACGTATTTTTTATGTAATTGTAGGTGAAGTAATCGCTAATTATATTACATGAGATGCACCTCCCCTTAACAACAGAAAAAAATAAATACATTGCCTGTATGATTTCAGATAGACGGAAATGTTTTAAACACCAAAGACTGTTGGTTATGAAGCTGGTTATCAAGGGATCAGAACTCATTTGTACATCTACAGAGCATTATACTCAATTGGTAGCTGTTCATCTTCACCTTGTAGCTTGATGACTTGTTGAGCTCTCCAAAGATTAATAAACACAGGGCAATGCTAATTCAGTGCAAACATATTTATCAACAAAGTGATAAGTTGCAAACAAACATCTACTACAAGCAGTCTTCCCTTTCAGCAACAAGACTGGCATTCCTGTTGAACGGCGGCTTCAGAGAAACCGTATTCCTGCCCCAAATTGGACCCCATCACATATCCTGGAAGACAGCAGTCAAAAGAAAACAATGAATGATCAAGTTTGGTTAAATTAAAGCGGGCATTTTATGGAAATTTGACTTTCCCATGTCTTGGATACAAATAGCTGTGTGTCTGGAATGCCTGCCCTTGCACCCGTGAGTGAGCTTTTTCTCCCATCAATCCCCCAAATGTGGCAGGTGTGAGTTTCAATGTGCTTCATTCTGAACATAGCCTCAAACCAGTTCCCCCCCTTCATTTTCGTTTCCAGTTGTGCCATATAGGTTACAAAATGGTGGAAAATGTTTTGAAATTATTTACTTCTGTCCTTTATCGTATTACAAAAGCCTGGCATTTGAACAAGGGTATCCACGACAGCTGGCATATACTTCATTTTTCGCAGGCATCACAATGCCTTTGTGAAAAATAAAGTACGTTTCATTTCAATGAAAAACAACCCTCCCACCTGTGAACATCAAGATGGCATTTGTAAGTCGACAGCATCTTTACCTGTCTCCACTCTGAACTCCCATGGGAATGCAGTAATTCAGCTCCAGTCTCGCAATGTTGCCTAAACGCAACACAATGCCAAGCCCATATGACCAGCGGATGCACTCTGCCAGCTTCTTCAAATGTGCTTGAGGGCCCTCCCCTAAGCATGAGAAACGCAATGATCCTTATTCATTTATTTATTCATTTATTGGGGTAGGTTCAATTAGTTTTGATACACAACCTCCGAACACCATATTTTTCAGCATATTGATCAAGCGAAACCGTTTTAAGTAACATTCTGCAAGTATCTGTAAACATAAGTTTAAAGAGTTTAATGACGAAGGAGTATTGCAAAAGTGAGGTGCATCACCGACGTTTTGTTTGAATATTCGTAGTGTATAAAGAAGTTAACCATTAAAAGGTAAAGGTTCAAAGATGAATGACATGATTGAAAAGGGCTAGTCACTTCAAAATTATGCCTAACGTGTCATTTTTAACATTTTGAGCTCGATATTACGGTAAAATTCCAAGCTCTGGGATGTTCACCTTCAGTTTTTTTTTTATTTTATTTTTTTATGTTTGTTTTTTAGGAGCTAACCCACCGTAGTTGAGGTTACAAAGGTTCCCGGCGTTGAGGAAGAAATGCGTTCGGAAGAGGTCGCCGAAGCCCCCCCTGCCAGGCCGGAAGGGCAGCGGAGTGTAGAGGTGAACGCCACCCGCCCAGTAAGCTTCTCCTCCCAGGTAATCGCCTGTCATACCAATTAAAAAACAAAATGACACCAAAAAAAAAAAAACTATGAAAATATTTTAAAATTAGCATCGAGGCTAACAGCGTAGCCAACCATCTCACCTTCACTTTGCGGGCCCATGCTGTACATGCTGAAACCACGAATACTGGTCGGCCCACCCAGATAAAACCTGGAAGGACGACATAGGAAGTTATGACAGAGAGGTTAAAAACATTTTTTTTAAAAGTTATAAATAAAAAGTCTGCTTTGCTTTGACTTATGTCATTCCCATTGTGGAGACTCCTACAACATTATCTAGCGATTTACCGATCGAGCTATCTACCTGCCAACCGACTGGCCCCACCCATAGAGTGTCCAATTTTTGATGTTTATTTGGCGGATTCGCAATGACAAAGGGGTTACAAGAAAATATGAAGTACCTGTCTGCTATGCTTGTTGGCTTGTCACCAATAGGCAACAGCAAACCGCCCCACAAGGAGGCAGACAGAACCTGGAAGAAAAAAAACAAATATGAGGCTTTGGTGAAGACAATTCTAATATAAACTGCGATCATTTTTACAGGTTAAAAAAAAAAAGTGTAAATCTCACGGAGTCCCAGAAGAGGCTTTTATTGAGCTGGATTTCAAAGTCCTCCTTGAGGAAACTGGCATCTCCTCCCGTGTAACCAGCAAGCTCCTACACGTCACATCAATTATTCCGTAAATTAGGTCATTCATGTGGTTGTGGTTTAAGGCGTGCGGTCTGCAACCGACCTGATGGATTTTCAAGAGGCCACCTTTCCTGGGCAGGATGGAGGAGTTTCTGGTGTCGATGACCATGGCATGCTTAAAAAAAAAAAAAAAAATCATTTTGGCTGTTTATTACCTTCCGTTTTGAGATGATTGAATTGGGGTCTTTGTTGCCCTTAAGTTACACACCCAAATTATTAAATGCTTCACTCGTTGTGTACTTTTTTTTAAAAATCACGTATATTACAAAAATAATTGACATAACTGTACCTGTAGTTTCAAAGTCATTTAAAAAAACAGTTTAACCCTTTGAGGGACAGCAGTTACTACAGTGGACAGTTTATCATGTTCTCAGGTTACAGGGTGCATAAAAGGGTTAATTGGAAATTCATTTATTAGTGGAACCTGATTGTCTTTTATAGTACATAACCTTGTTGTTGTTTGCAGCTGTGCGTTTCCTGTGATATTAAGATTATGTCATCTGGGATTTGAAGACAAAATACCGCGAGTGATGACTTGAGAGAATGTCCACTCTCTTCCCGGACAGCGAAGGAGGCGGTGCGAGCCAGACATCCTAAATCTCTCCACACGCCTTCCCACTTCAGGGTTTGGTTGGTCTTCCATACAGGGAACTTGAGCAAGGATGGACAGCAAGACATTAAAATCCTTTTCCACAATGACGATCGTATGAAGATTTGTCGTCTTTTACATTTAGCTCGACTGAGACGCCACGATCCGTCTCCCTCAGCGAACTCCACGGAAACTGTCCGGTTACTTTGTAGGCGTTGAGTGTGATGCTGAGGGGAGAGAAAAAAATAAAATAAAAAAGAGACGGAAAGTCACTTCACGGCACAACATTCCTCTCCTATTCCACGGCAAAAACGAAACAAGATTATCAGATGTATTGTCAAGCAATTGGAGAATCTTGATGCAAGCGGTCGCTAATAAATCTAGTAAAAGGTTTTCTATTTCATAGTTTGGCTTCAATTTCTAAAACGAACATTCACTTTCTCTTCATCAGTATTCAGTATACACTGAAACTATGCAGAAGGAGAGGCAAGTTATAAATGTCGCGGCGAAAAATTCATACGCAAATATATGTCGTGTTGCGCTCCTAATTGTCAACACATGACACTATGAGAGCTATGAGCGATACTTACTTGCGTTCAAAGTTCCCCACTTGCGGTTTGAAAAAGGAAAGGCCGTAGGAAGTCTCTTTGGTGCCGTAGGAGAACTGAAAGGTGAGCTTCTCGGCCCGGCCAAACACATTGGGTAGCTTCATTCCGAGCACCTGCCGTGATGCATGATTGTACCATCGTTTAGTGGCGCCAATTCAAGCGAGACCATCCATCCAATTGCGCACTCACCATGCTTCCTTCATTGTTCCCGACCATAGTGTTGTAACTGCCTGTCATCCGCCTCAGCTCGGTGACCTCGAACGTCACATCGAGGCCGTTGGGGAGAGCGTCTTCACCTGAAACATAAGCGGTAGCAAAAGTTAGCTCTAGAAGTGCTCCACAAATAAAGTTGAATTGGATTTGAATTGATTGCTGTTTTTTTTTTTTTTAAACAATTCATTTTTTCCAAAATGTCCACTTCTGTGCCTTTCTGTTACTCTACCAGTCTCTCTGCTGCAATCAAAGCCTGGCAATTTTTAGGGTGCCATCTTGGTCAAATGATGTCGAAATGTGAACAGCATTGATGGAATGGACTGTTTAAGAACCAATTGTAATTGAACCAGGAAACGTGTTGGTCCATTCATGATCAAACACCCGTTCAGCCTTTAGTTTCGAGAACAGGAAAATGCAAAAAGAAAATAAACATTGAACAGTTGGTGTGTCCATTCAAAAGTTTTGAGAAGCTCATATTGAATTCACCTGAAAATATTATAGTGAATTTTTAGGTTCACCTGCAAATTTTGCACAACATCCAAATAACCCCAACATGATGTGACTCGTGTATAGTGTCGTATTTTGTGGCTGATGTACCCCTGGAGGTGTCAATAACAACTTCGACTTTCCGGAAGATTCCAAGACGAAGCAGCTTCTGCCTGGCTTCGTGGGATCTTTTCATTACCTGAAATAACAAAGCAGCAGTGTGGAGTCAGTTAACAGGCTGTAGTTTCCCTTTGATTTCCAGTACGTACATCGATTAAATTCCTTGCTCGGAAAACATCAGAGATCTCATAGGAAAGCAGGTCCTCCTTGGTCCTCCCGAGCCCGTCTATATGCACCCGCTGGACCACCACCTTTGGATATTAAAATAGCAGAAGGAAATGTCATTTCACAAAGTTGTTTTGTGGCGCGTTTGGCAACTACATGGATCTTACATCCTTGTTTTCCAGAATTTCCTGCTTGGGTTCCTGCTCCATATCAGGAGGCTCAATGTCGTCAGCGTGAACTCCCAGCTCAGGACCCTGCATGGGCAGAGGGTCCAGGCTCTGCAACACCACGGAGAAAAGAAACGACCATCAAGAGGCACGCTGTGACTCAAGTGAAACAATTACATCATTTCCTGAAAGATATTATCTATGGAATAATAAGTTATTTGCACAAGTATTTCTTTTGTTATGCACACTTGTCAGCGATTTTCACAACACTCAATTAGGTACACCTACATCATCTAGTCTTTTGAATGGCATGCAATACAAGAGGAGTTGCATCAAACAAATTAGGTTTTACAAAGATAATCATGATGTTACTGTATAATATAGCAACATCTGCATTGTAGCCTACTTTAATCACACAATCCGAAAGCAGTTGTTGTTTAGACGCTACAAAATTCAGAATGCATTTTTCTGAGAAATTGTGGGTGAAACCTGAGCAGCTGACACTGACATGAAATGCTGTGGAATGAATTGAATTGTTAACATGTAGAATGTGAGACCTAAAGTTGGAAGGGTTTGAATCAGTCAAGAAATATGGAAGGAGAGTGTCGATGGCAAATATTTGTCCCATTTGTAATACTAAATGCGATCCTGAAAATGGTGGCAATTTCAGGAACTTGCCAAATAGTTTTCCAGCTGAGCGATGTCCTGAAGGAGCATGTAAATAGACTTTGAATGGCTTGAATAGGACAAAGGGACAAAATAGTGCCAGTAAAAAAGGTTTCAAAACAATATTGGTTGAGTACATGTGAATATTCTTCACACAAGTACAAGGACAATAAACTTAAATTACTGATTCTGCTCATCATGCAGTCTTATTATATCTTATTATACAGTCGGAGTCTATCAAACAAAATGTCATTGAGTGCATAACACAGTACAGTACATCTCCATAATGTCAGTCTTTCGACTCCCAGATAAAAATAAATAAAACAGTGGTGTCAAGAAGACAACGAGCTGGCATCTTATACAAAGCAAACCGAAAACGTCAGCATCGTGGTGTTAAATGTTTAAAATGCACGGTAGACAAGATGTGATTGAGGAGGTCCAAATGTGCATACTTTGTTCGACAAACAAGCGCCGTGCATTAGCCACCAATGCCCCAAATCTCGTTGAAGGGTGGACGGACGCTGTCACCGAGGGCCTCCCTTTTCTTCTCAGCAGCCACACACGCCGAGAGGTCAAACGCCCAAAGCAACGCGTTGCCGTCGCATTTTCTTACCCTGGCGTGGACGGTGCCCATGCTTAGATCCACGCGACGGCGACCCGATGGAAAACAGCGACAGTTGACAGAGGGGGGGCACACGCAAAAAGCAAACACTCAAGACTATTACGCGGAGACAGGAGAAAGGGCTTCACTCAAGGAGGCAGCCATGTCATTTCCGGAATTCGGCTTGGCCACGCCTACCAGCAGGCGGCCATTGCTCGTTTGGTGATAAAATGTCGTAAAAATACAAAACATAAATACAGTAAGTATATTAACATGTACAGAAAACAATTTAAAATAGAAATACAGTAAACATGAATACCCAGAAATGAAATACAGTAAATATATATTCAAAATAAAATACAATGTCAGGAAACACAGGAACAAAAATAAAATTCTGTAAATGTATAAAAGTAAAATCAGATCGTCTTAATGCTATTAATCATTCTGTCAAATGGATGTGTGAAAAATGTGTCGAGTTCAGATGATGAAAATGTAGATCATAAATAATTTACTTGCACTGCTGTCCGCAATTCCATATAATACTGTAAATCATCCCACTGCATTAGTGTTCACGTCTTTAAGTATAAGCAAATCTTTGCTCCAATAATTGCTACGAGCACTTTGCATCAATAGCCTGCTGTAGATACTGTATAGCTGGGGCCACCAATATGGTACCAGCGGGCACCGGGTAGCTTTCAAGGACCACATGAGTACCCCGCGTACCTGTTTAAGGAAAAAAAAATAAAAAATCCAACTCAAATATGTTTTGCTGTTTTATTCTTTTATTTATCAGGGTCTGCATTGTTATAAAATAATGTCATGCAATCATGTTGGTCTGTATCACAGCGAATACTGGAAAAACATTGCAAAAGTGTATAAAGAGACTAAGAAACTGTTACTTTTAGGAGTAAATTTTAAATTTAAGGTTGTTTGTATGTCGCTGAGCATTTCTCCAAGCTAAGCATCCTGTAACAATAAGAGAACATGATGTTATATTTTTAAATCATTGAAGTAAAAAAAAAAATAATAATAATTCTCATAACCTCTCTTACCCTTCTGTTATGAAAGTATCATAGGATATTTTGTCTTCGTTTACGCCGTCAGGACACTCATTTATGTCTTTCATGCCCAATGAGATGAGAGCTGTGGAAAATATAAGGCTCTTTTAATAGTACAGTATGATGAAAAAATATAAATTTTCATGAGTTGTGACGCGCTCACCCTGTTTGTACCGTGCAAACGAGACATGTCTTTCATTAGCTGGGTCCACTATACCAAACGCTGCATCCAGGTTAGAAGGGCTGAGGAGACTGGGTGCTTTTTGGCCACTATCTCGAGCTTGTTTTAGCTGTGTGAGTTTCTCGATCAGAAACTCTTTGGGATCATCTGAATAAAAAGGACAAATGATTCCAAGTTGAGATGCCTATCAACTAAAAGGATAGCAAAGTACAAGGAAGACTTTTGCCAAAAAAACTAGGAGTGCATCCATCCATTTTCTGCTTATCCATGAATAGTAAGGTGCACAAAAAAGGCCAATGGATTGAGTAAAATAACAAACGACACAATAAAAATAAATAAAATGTGTGAAACAGATGAAAAGTGACGTCCAATCAACCTGAAACACGCTTAAAATGTAAACGAAATGCTAAATAGGTGAAAGGTCAGTAAAATGTTAAGAATAAAAGCTAAGGTAGTCTGAATCAGTTAAAAGCGAAACAAAAAGGATGACTAATGAGCGATTCCAAACAAGCGGAGCAACGGGAATTATCCAAGTTCACTGAAGTGGTTCAAATATTATTAATCATCATTTATATTTAAATGAAGAAAAACAAAATTTCATTGAACTTCTGTACATTTACAGAATGTTTATAAAGCTTGTAAAGACAAAAAAAATCTGAGAAACTACATGTACTTATACGATGATGAAAAAATTAATTGAATCCAAGAAAAGAACAGTTCAACAGTTAACAGCGAAGTGCTACTTTAGCTAACCTGCTAACTATCTGGTAAAAGCGAGTAGTTTTACCTCAAAAAGTGCCCTGAAAAAAAAGCAGTTGCTTATAATACATAAAAGGCTAACCGGGTCTATAAAAGAAGAGCATGCTGGTGAGGTTTTTCATGAGATCGAAGATTTTGTGTTTTTCCAGGTACGCAGAAGCTTCTTTCTCTCGTTCGGTCGGCATCTTGTCATCCATCCTGTTTGTTAATATCGGTTGCTAGGATACGACCCTGCTTCACCAAAAAAAAAAAAAAAAGGGTCTGACATTGTTCCAACAAATTTAAAACAATAAAACCCGTTTATTTCGTACATATATAAATGTTGCTACACTTATTTGATTCATATAAAACATAATTACACAAACATTTATATCAGGCAACTAAAAAATGCAATGTATTCTTTTTTTTACACATCCAGCCATCAATTTTATTTTATATTTATCCCCAGGAGACGATCCGAGCCGTCTTTTCAGTGAGAGGCAGCCAGTATTTGTTTGCCAGCCAATATCGCAGAGTACTTCAGACGAACAAGAATTTCCACTCACACTAACAACTATGGAAACTTTCGAGCTTTCATGCTTGTCTTGCAGAAGCCAGAGAACCTGGGGAGTTTTGAAAACCCACACCAGCATCAGGAGAGCATGTAAACGCTAAAGGGCTGAGCTGAAATTCAAAGCTGAAACCTGTGAGACAGATGCGCTCACCACTCAAACACCATGCTGTCGCACATTCGGGTATGGTACTGATTTAATACAACGAAGCTGCTGAAAGTTAAACTGCTGTGGTGCTTTGATTTAGAATTTTACTCCTCAGAAAAGAAAATATGCTTCTAAAAGCAGTGCCTTTCAATTATTTTCTGTTACGCGTCCCCGTGAAGACCTCCATCTTATATTCAAATTTATGTTACATGGAGTCAGCCCACCTGCCACCATTTAAAGTGCTGGATAACCTCAAATAAATTTCAGATGTTCAAATAACATTTTCCTGACATTTTGGAGCGGTCTGTTCCTTTAAAAACAAAACACCAGACTATGAAAAGTCCATTTAATGTTCACACTGTTGTCTACCTACAAATATGTTGAAACCAATGATTACTGTCTGTGATAAATATTCACCGCCCTGAGACCATTTCCATTATATATATATTATTTCCATATTAGTTCATCTTGGGTTTTGCTTCCATTTGCTGCTGTACGGCTGCTTCTCTGAGTTGGAAGCCTCGTAATTCTGTCCGAAGCTCGCCAGGCTTTGGTGGGACCTCTGGTATAGTCTGATGGAAAAAGAAAAGCACAGTTTCAGAAACAAACGATCTACTTGTGCACTACTTTTAAAGTGAAAATGGACTTGAACAACTCAGAGAGGTCATTTAGTGTTGTCACAATTTATCGACCTTGATACTGGTATGTTCGGCAGCACCACGGCAACAGCTTACAATTTATAAAGCAGTGGAATACTAGCTGACAGCTAAATGTCTAAGTTATTTGTATTAACTCGAAAAATTACTACTGTATAAGAATACTAACAAGTCTTATGGCATGAAAACATTTGTTGTTTACTACTTAAGATATAAAGCCTTCAGGCGGTATAAAATCTCATTGAATATTGAAGATAATAGGTCTCCTTCAATTCAGCCCTCTCACCAGGTCGGGTAAGTAGTACTGGTGGACCGCCTGTGCCCCTGCAAACATGGCCAATATACTGGCTCCGTACATCCTCAGGTAACGAGTCCACGACACCCCAGCGGGCATTTTTGCGCTGCTTCAACGAGGAACACCATGCACACTTGCAGACTGTGAACAAACATGTGTCATGCCATCAATGTCAACGCTGCACGTTGCTCAGTTGAGAAGCTATCTGGCTGTACTACTCACGTTTTAATAAAGAGGTGCCTAACAAAGTAAGCGTTCCACACTTTAACGTTTGTTTACCAACCTTGCGAGCCTAATCCATTACCAGACTTGTGAACAAGTTGTTTACAACTCATTCTCAAGGATTGTCGGTCATCGGGACAAGAACGGGTCACATTCTGAAAAGATTACATCCGGGTTGTATTCATTGCATCAACCAACGCAATTCTCCTTTTTTCCAATGAGTGGCGGTAGTGCGCATAATTGCCAGGAGCATGAGACGATGAAGAAGAAGGAAACGGTGCGCCTTCCGACCTTTAGGTGGCAGTAAGCGAACACGTCGCAAAGTTTCAATGTTCTTTGTTTTGGAATCGCTTTCCTGCCCCCAAGTCTCAAAATCAGAAGCCATAAAATGTATGACAGGTATGTCAAATTTCACATATATCTGATAGTTTTATCCCACAAGAAGCATATCATTTAAAATAGTCTGTTAAACGTAACGCAGACCGACAAGTGCCATTGTCCGTCGATGGTTTTTGTGATGCTAGCATTTTTTTACACGGCTTAGCTTCGTTCCTCTCACGCCTCAGCGAACCATTATCACGGCAACCCAATGAATGTTAATGTTTTTGTCAAGTAAATCGACAGTTAGTATGGAGGAAAACGAGTTTACACCATTGACGGTGCCTACGGATTATTTCCAGCAGTGGTGAGTTTTCCCTGCAAGTGGCCCATCTCCGAGGAATGCAGTCATCATCTCAATTGGTCATGTTTTCATTTTTCCCTTTTATTTGTCATTTTCGTGAATGCAGTGTCATTCACATAAATGTAAAAATAGTAAACAAGAGCATCGATTGATTCGTTTTTTTTATGATTTTATTTTGCATGTTGGTTGTATATGCACGACTCAAAAAAAATAATGGATGTTCGACATTTGGAAGACATTTCAGGATGAACCTAAAAGTCTTAATTTGACATCGGAACTGTTGTCCGACTACTGAGTGTTTCTGTCTAACAAAAATATTCACAACAGATGCTATTTACACTTTTTTTTGCCTCCTACAGTCGCTTCATATCACTTTTAGGTCGAGATCCTTGATATCCAATTTAAGGTCCATTTAAAATAACCTGTAAAAGAATATCGTGTATTTTAGGTTCATCCTCAACTTTCACCCCAAATCTCAATTTCCCACATTTTTTGAGTAGTCTAATGAGTGAATATCAATTGGTGTTGTGCAGTCATGATGTGTCTTCATTGATCACCAAATTATAAAGTGTCGTCTTATGTCGTATTCTTTTAAGGAAAGCGGTTTGAGCATTTATCTATCATCAGGTCCATGAACTCGTACACTCTTTATCCTCACTAGTGAGATAATTCAGATGTTTGATATTACTTTTTTTCAGACCGATACCAGTACGAGTACTCAACTTTTGAGTGGTCCCCGGAGGACCGAAACCACTAGTACCTATAACTCCTACATTTTTAAATAATAATAATCCATTTTATTTGAATGCACATTTTATTTGAAAGTGCTTCTCATAGTACTCAAAGATACTTTACAACAACAAAACCGGCGTTTTCGGGTTTTGACTATAACTACAGGCAACTAGTAGGACATTATTTTGTAACATGGATGGTATTTTAGCACACTAGTTGGACGACGACATGTTAACAGGGAGGCAAAATTGTGCACTAGTTGACACCTGCATACGACTACGGCTTGTATCACGAGCGAGGACAATGAGCATACGAGTACATGAACCTCATGCTGGGTGTCCAGGATATGCGACTCAATGCTTAAAATCTTGTTCCAAGGTACCAGTCAAGCCAGCAGCACCCTGAGGTGCAGCATGTGATGTCCCACCATAACCACTATAGCGAGGGGCCCAGGGATGAGCCAGTCATGGCCGAACTGTCGGTACACAGGGAACAGCCACTCTGCCAGGAGCAGTTTTATCAGAACTACTCCCACTACCAGGAGCCCGTCTACCAGCAAGATCAGCATCCTGCTTACCTGCACCAACAACAACAATATCCAGTACAACAGCAGCAGCAGGAGCCTCAGTTTGAACATGCAGTACAACACCACCAACCCCAGCATCAACATTCAACACAGGAGGAGGAGCTCAATGTTCAGCACCAACCTCCACCTGCTACTCCACCTCAAGGTAAATGGGATGTGTTCCTCCCTCCCACACACACACACACACACACACACATTTTTAAACCTTACTCTGCAGGCAAACACGATAGGAAATGGATGGATGAATGATGTTGAGCTTTGCATACAAGGAATGACAAAGTACATTTTCCATGAGGTGTCCGACATTTTTTCTTAGTGGTGAAGCCGGTGAAGAAAAAGCGAGGCCGCCCGCCCAAGAATCCGCGCGAAGGAGGTGGAGGGGGAGGTGGAGGAGGAGCGCTGAAAGAGGAAGAGGAGGATGCGAGCGAGGCGGCGGCAAAGAAGGCCAAAAGGACGCTGAATCGCTTCAACGGCATGTCAGTGGCTGAGGTTATGGCCAAAACGCTGCCTGACGTTATTACCTACAATCTTGACATTTTGATCGTGAGTTATAAAGAGCATACCGTATACGAATTGATTAATCATGAAACGTGTGCACAATTCTCAGAAGACACCTGGTCAGGGTATTTTATTTTTTTGTCTGAAGAGCGTGTGATTTTCTTTTGGATGCATTTCTATGGTAATATTTCTCCTCAGATTGGAATTAATCCAGGATTGATGTCTGCCTACAAAGGACACCACTACCCCAACCCTGGCAACCATTTCTGTATGTCTTCATTACTGAACTATTTTTCATTATTAGCGTAGTTTACCAACTTTGAACACTTGCGCAACCTATTTTCATTTTCGAACTTAAAATAAATTTTTACAAATGTATTTTTTAGGTTTTAAATATTGTCACCCTCCTAAAATAATGGCCCTGTGTTTTGAAAATAAATAAAATGACAGAGCATTCTATCCTGCTTTGTCTGCAGGGAAATGCTTATTTCTGTCTGGTTTCACTGAGCAGCAGCTGAACTTCATGCATGACGAGAGCCTGCCGGAGAAATACGGCATCGGCTTTACAAACATGGTAGAGAGGACCACACCTGGCAGCAAAGACCTTTCCAGGTGATTAGGGCTCATGTTTTTTAAAAAAAAAAAAAAAAGGTTACCAGTTCAGTTGATGCATTTTGGTATGTAAAAAGACATTGAAGCTTCTCATGTTTGTCTTCCCAGTAAGGAGATCCGTGAAGGAGGGCGACAGCTGCTTGAAAAGCTGCAAAAATACAAGCCGCTGATAGCAGCTTTTAATGGAAAAGGTACAACATCACGTGAAAAGACTATAATATAAAATTCCTATGCTGCCCAGTTGTAATGGTTATTTTTTTTTTTGACTTCCCCAAAGCTACAAATGGCTTGTATTCTGTCTTTTATCCTGTTAGGTATTTACGAAATATTCTGCAAGGAAATCTTTGGCGTGAAGGCCAAGAACCTGGACTTTGGCTTGCAGCCCTACAAGATCCCAGACACTGAAACGGTATATGACACACCACGTCCACAAATGACAAACATCCATCACGAAGAAGCCAAACTTTGTTCCTTTTTGGTCTAGGTGTGCTACTTGATGCCTTCCTCCAGTCCTCGTTGTGCCCAGTTCCCCCGCGCACAGGACAAAGTGCACTTCTACATCAAGCTGAAAGAGCTGCGAGACCACATGAAAGGTGTCGTACCTCGCCGTGAGGTGCTGGAGACCGACTATTCTTTTGACCTGCAGCAGGCTAAAGGTAAACCATCGCCGCATCCAGGAATCGCTGGATTCCTTCCGTTTATTTTATTTTATTTTATTTTTTTATTGCTTGACACTTGCGCAGAAGATGCAAAGAGGATCGCCATCAAAGAAGAGCAGATGGATCCCGAGTACGAAAGCTGTAGTGGTCAGCATGAGAATGTGAGGCAAAGTAATCCAGGAAACTTTTACTGAAGTTACATCAGGAAGGCAATTTTCCAAACTGGAATCGGCAAGCAAGAGGAATCAGACAGCATAATGCTGAATTTTCGTGGAATGCACCAAAACAAAAAAAGACTACACACGAATGTTTAATCCTACACTTCACTGTGCATGTACTGTACTAGGTTTAATATTTTCCACTATTTATTGCATTTGGTATCATCTTTTTTTTCTCCTTTGGTTTCTTATTTTTGTACTGTATTTTGAAATAATGGAATTGTGTGACCATCTGTGTAAACAAGTAATTTGTCTTTACGATTTTTATTAAAATCGTAATGAAGACCAATGCCTTGCTTTAGTTGTTTTTTTTGTACTGTAAAGTTAACATATTAATGAAAAAAAACTTGTTTAGTCAGATTTTCAACAAGTCAAACGTAGATTCTCAAAACTATTGTAGTACTGTTTTGACTGGTGGTGTATTAATTGGGTACAAAACAAGAAAAAACACGCCTCTTTTCACCAAAAACATATGCTTGTATTCATTCATCCATCAATTCAGTTTCTTATGTTGTATGTATGTATATTTAAAAAAAAATGTCCATTAGTTTCATTAAAAACACTTGACCCAAAGCTGCCCACTTCGGAGAGGATACACGACGCCGGAAACTTTAAACGTCACAACCTTTCAGCCAATAGAAAACACCCTCACGTTTAAAAGCCGAGTAGCTCAAACCAAGAGTCCAATAAGGGCTCTATTCAGTTTTTGTAATATTCCTTACAAATGCTAAAATTAAATAAAGACATAAACGCTCACATACACTTATAAATAATAAACAACTGTATGTGGCTGCGTAAAAAAATAGCGTCGATCATTCAGTTTATTTTGATATCTCCTTTCCTTGACCCCTAGATCTTGGACTTGGAATCGTCTCGTGTCAAAGTTGACTGGGACTGCGCTGTCACGTCTTTGTTGCTCCCTGAAGCCACATCCAATCTTCCGAATTTAAAAAAAAAAACACATGTGGGGAACATAACATTATTTTCCTGACCGGAGAATCCGATTAAAACAGCCGTTAACTAGGTACGTCTCATGCATGTTTACACTCTCAACTGTTGTGCCGTTTTTGCTTCCCATTCTACTATACCAGCGAGAGCATTCATCCGTGATAGCTTAGCTGCTAGCTGGCGGCTAATGATAGCTTTTAATTTGCACAATTTATTACGGAAGAGGAATTAATAAGTTGTTTTGTAAGTCAAACGTTTGAAAACGGTGTAGCCACGTCTTCGTAAAAAAAATGAAAAAGCGATATTCACACTCGGTTTGTTGTTACCATTGTTAGCTTTTAGCCACGGAAGAAAGGAGGGTATTTAATTTTTAGAAACCGCTCACGTCGGGTGTTTGAGAGCGTTTGAAGACGCAGTGAAATTTTTTGTGTGTTGGATATGATTCAATTTAAACTTTTATTTTGAACATGAAAACAAAACAAAATCAACTGTAGTCAATCAAAGTCTGTACAAAAGTTTTCTATATTCCAAAAGGAGTGGGAAGTCCAGTTTCTTGACTTTTTTCCATGTTGTTTATTCCTTTATAAGTCTCACCCCACAGAATGAAATACATAATCTTTTCAAGTTTGTACACTATAGATTTTGTGAAGTTTCCCACCCTTTCTCTAAACCAATTACCTGTTTAATATTAACATTGTAAATTATCAATGATGTTTGGGGTTTCGATCTCTCAGTAAATTATCATAATTTGGACTACATGAAGAGTGAGTGATTGTGATCCAGAGTGCCCGTCAGATGGTTTGGTAGTTTCACTCTCTGTTTAATTTGTTATCTGTTGTCTTTGTGTTTAAATCATCCGTTTATTGCATGTGCCACTTCCATTTTTGTCCCTCACCATGCATGTCGGTTTATTTATTTAATGAAGTAAAAGCACCCACAAGATGGACAATAAGATGAACGGATCCCTGCCCGTTGGCTCCTCGGCGTATCTGCAACAGTGGTGAGTTGCACAGTACAGGCCGATTAAATAACCATCAAGTGTCAAAAAACGTTTTTTTAAAACATTAAGTCGTATTTGTTTTGTTCATGTTGTGATTTAAAGTTTTATGTTCATTCTTTTGATATTTTGCTTTGTTGGGGGTGGGGGGTGGTCAAGGGAAACACATTTCACCAGTTTCTTTGCCCCTCTGTTCTCAATGTCACGCTTCAGGATTCAGTCGGCTCAGCAGTTCCAAGCCCTCCAAGCCCAATATTCAACCTACAACCATCTGCCGCACTACCCGGAGGAACACACAGGGGGAACAGCGGCAGCTACACCGCACATTGTTCACCCTCAATCCGCGATGGAGCAGCAGGAGCCTGCTAATCTGACAAAACGTAGAGTGCATTTCGAAAGTCTACACACCGCTGTTTTAATTAGACCAAGAGAAATAATTTCTTCACCAACATGATCTCTACGACTGTTTGCAATAACAGATTTTGTTGAATCCTCCACGCAGCCCCGCCCAAAAAGCGAGGCCGACCATCTCAGCCCAAGGAACCCAAGCCGCCAAAGGCCCCCAAGGTCCCAAAGGAACCCAAGCCCCCAAAAGAACCCAAGCCCCCAAAGGCACCCAAGCTCCCGAAGGCACCCAAGCCCCCGAAGGAACCCAAAGCGCCCAAGGCCAAACCGGGCCCGAAGCCCAAGAAAGGCGCCCAGGGACAGGCGGCCGATGGCAAGCAGGAGAAGATTGACGAGAGCTTCAAGAAGGTGAAGAGGAAAGTGGATCGTTTCAAGGGCATGTCGGAGGAGGAGGTGATGAAAAAGACCCTGCCGGACCTGCTGGACCACAATCTGGACTACGTCATTGTGAGCGGAATTTGACGATATTGGGTTCAAAGGCAAGCATCTGTTTTTTTTGTATAATCTGGCAAACCTGCTTTTCTCGCAGATTGGTATCAATCCAGGGCTGATGGCTGCTTTCATCGGACGATGGTTTCCTGGTCCTGGAAATCATTTTTGTAAGTGAGAATATGTAAAACTGGTTCCATCAAAAAAAGACCCCAATTTAAATTGATCTTTGGCCACTATTTGTTACCATGTAAAAGGGGTGGCCAAAGGGCCACATTTGTTTTTTTAAAATGGTTACGTGGGCCAAGTCTGTGGAGCTGATGCTTTCAAAAAAAAAAAAAAAGTTTGAATGTGAAGAAATGAGAACAAAATGTACTGAAATAACCATTCTCATTTTAAAATTTATGATAATGTAATTATTCAAATTAAGAAGTTGTTTTATGAAAAAACATATTTAAATGTTAACTATATGAGTAATGTTCATGTGCTAAATGTGCCACCACAAAAATATAAAAATTTTAAAAATTTAAAATATCTGCAAAAGGCTCCTCTATGCAAAAAGGCCGAAAGTGACTTTTTTTTTGTTTTGTTTTCCTCCATAGGGAAGTGCCTCTTCCTTTCGGGATTCACCGAAGAGCAGCTCAACCACATGCATGACACCACTTTGCCTGGCAAGTACAAAATGGGCTTCACCAACATGGTTGCCAGGGCGACGCCAGGCAGTAAAGACCTGTCAAGGTCGGTAACAACTTTGTCTTATTTGTTGTTGGAAAAGCTGTTGAGCCCTCTTCATTCTTTTTTTTTGTTGTCCCCGCAGCAAAGAGCTGCGTGAAGGGGGCAAAATTCTTGTGGAGAAACTGATGAAATACAAACCTCTCATTGCGGTCTTCAACGGAAAGTGTAAGTCTTGTACAGTATTTTTATTATTTTTTTTACAGCTGTCATTAAGCATCCTCCATTCAACCCAACCACACATTTTGCAAAAATGTTTATTCCCCTCTTTCTTCTAGGCATATATGAAATGTTCTGTCGAGAACTCTTTGGCAAGAAACCAAAGACGCTGGAGTTTGGTTTGCAGCCTCACAAGATCCCCGACTGTGAAGTGGTGAGTAAACATTATCCCAGCTTTCATTGTCACAGTGAGGTACAAAACAAGAGTGCGATAGCTACCTGGTGGAGGTTTAATTTTCATGTGGATTATTGTTATTTTTTGTTAAATGTTCTGCAAAGCGCTTCGTTACAGCTACAACCTGTTGTGAAAGCACTATCGAAATAAAGATGTATCATGTATGTTATTTATTTATTGGTCTAGATCAGGGGTGTCAAACTCATTTTAGTCGCGGGCCAATTTGGAGTCGCGTCTTCCCTCGGAGGGCCGACAAAATTATTACTTGTACACAACAAATTAATAGATTACGAGTTTTGAAATCAGTCAAGTCAATTATAATAAATTGTTCAAGTGAGTGTAAACTGGGGAACAATATTACTGCAAAATCTCAATGTTATTTATGACACATGACGATTTGACATTTTGGTACAGATTTTTGCAAGTTGACACATATGATTTGCTTTCACGGGCTACATAAAATGATCTGGCGGGCCGGATCTGGCCCCCGGGCCTTGGGTTTGACACCTGTGGTCTAGATGATTTATAAGTCCAATGTTGAAAAAAAAGCAGTCCGCATGTTTACTTAATCATACTTCGTGAAACCAGTTGGATATCGTCACTGTCCTGTGAAAAACACGTATGTCCATTTTCAATAAAATGTGCTTGTTGAAGATACATCAGAAAAGGACCGAGACAAAAATAGTCGCATATTAAATTGCAATTGCAATCCTGAGGGGGGGGGGGGAAATCACAGCTCAATTATTTTCTCAAATCATATAGCCCTACTAAGAGTATAAGCAATAAGAAAATAGGCGGATGGATGTTTTACTCAGTATACAAAAAAAAAAATTGTTTTAATTCTTTTTTGGGGGGGCGTGTCTCTGCTTTCGCCAGGCTTTGTACTTGATGCCATCATCCAGCGCCCGGTGCGCTCAGTTCCCTCGTGCTCAGGACAAAGTCCACTTTTACATTAAGTTGCGGGAGCTGCGCGACCACCTGCGGGGCATTCAGCGGCCCAGGGAGATTGAAGAGATCAACTACTCATTCGACCTTCACCTGGCCAAGGGTACGTCAATCGGGAAGCGAGCCATGTTGTACATCGCCACCTTGTGTTAACTTTACCACCGGTCTTCGCAGAGGACGCCAAGAGAGTGGCCATCAAGGAGGAGCAGTACGATCCCGGCTACGAGGACGCCTACGGCGGAGCTTATGGCGAACCGCCGGCCGAGGGAGGCCAGAGTCAAGCCAACGGACACTTTCCCTTCTCACCAAGCCAGGAAAACAATGCTGGTAGGCATACGCTTCCTGTGTGGAAGCTTGGAGACACAATAATTCCACAAGAACACACAAGACGTCGCTCGGAAGGTGACGCGCGACACAAAACAGATGGATGGATGATCATTGCAGCTAAGAAAAAGGTTAACCCACTTCTACAGTGTATTAAATTGAAGGTTACTGATACTAGCCATCCATCTTCAAGAGGGGGAAAAAAAATTCAAAGAGTAAGTCCTCCTCGCCAGTAGGTGGTGCTACACTGCAGTTTTTTTTAAATGACTGCTTGAATTCTCATCAAAATTGTATGATTCAATTCTCTAAATTAAATATGGCCCAAAAAAAACCCAGAAAATTTCAAACCTCATAAAACTTACTTTTTAGACATGCCGTAAATTTATTCAAACAAAAAAACTGCAACACAAAAAAATAGTATACATATTTTAGTGTTCGTGCATGTGCCTTTAAGAGGCGGGGTTTGTGGGGCAGTGTGTGAGTGTCTGAGCGTGAGCTGTAGTCAACAGCAGCTTCTGCATGAGTGTGAGAAAACAAATAACAGTCTTTCTCTCATCCCAGCAGAAGACGAAGGACAGGAAGCAAGCGCGTCAAAAACTTCTCAACTGGCCAACGGAGAGGGGATGACGCAATCTTGCGCCAGTCAGACTCCTGATCAAAGCGCAGAGGGAAGAGTAGAAGGAGAAGGCGGAGGAGCTCGCCTGTCCTCAGCCGTATAATGACAAATTGTTACAATTTTTATATATTTTTTCTTCCTTAGTGGAATATACACGCCTAGATAGACTTTGTAGACATTCTTGCAGAATATTCTTTCTGCACTGGTTTTAAAATGTTGTTGTGGTATCATGCTCTCCATGGCCGCCATTTTACTCACACACACACACACACACACACACACACACACACACACACACACACACACACACACACACACACAAATGAAATGCAGGGACAATGACAATTGTTTTGACTCTCTCCACTGAGAAAAAGGGCGCTGTACTTTGGACTAAGGACCACCTGGGGGCAGCAGGAAACTGGAAGTGGAATAGGGACATGGAACAGAAATGCTAACTTCACTAGCATTATTTTCTTCAACCGTCTAATTCTGACTCCGCTATGAGTCTATGGACAAATGTTGGGGCTCGTCTCAATACTTTTTTCCACTGAGATAAGAGTGGACAAAGTTATTGACACCTCTGAAAGGTGTTGTGTTTCAATAGTTTTGTTCATTTAAAATTGAAATGTGTGTCCCAATACCTTTGTCTATGTTAATGACAACTGTGTCGACAAAAGTATTGAGGCATAGGGAAATTTTTTTAATCAAGAGTCGTCCACAGAGTGGAGATAAGCGTTAACAAAGGTAGCGCAACACAACTTTGTGTCCACTTTTTAATTAGGAGTTGTGTCCCAATACTTTCTACTACCGCTGTTCATCTTCCTTCTATGGAGACAAAAGTATAGAGATGTACTTGAACCCCTTAAGAAGTGCATCCCAATTCTTTGTTTCCACTCAGCAACAACTTCCTTGGTGCCCTTTTTTTTAATCGTGTTTACAGTTGTACTGTACTGCACACCGATGCAGTAAAGAAGCCAACATGCGCAACTACTGCTTTGATTGCAGGGAATGACCTCAGCCGCCTTTTTTTAAAATTCATTTCGTTTTAGGACTTTTTAGAATCGGTTGATAAAAATTACACTCAAGGAGTTTTGTGATTATGTTTTGTCCATTAAAAAATGTCCTTATGGTGCTTTTTATACATAGTTGCACTTTGTTTTTATTCACTTGTGTGGGTATGTGTGTCTCTTTCTCTATGGAGAAAAAAATCACTCTTACTCATGGGGGAAGTTCAATAATCACAAAACAGATACAGAACATATCTATGTGAAAGCCACAGCAGCATAAAGTCAGAACATTTGTCAATATAATTTTTTTTCAGAGTCCAACTTCAATCTGCTGAGGTTCTTCTTTGCAGACACACTGGAGGGTATATGAAAAAAATATGTCCCGATCCATAATAACAGTTAATGGAAGGTTGGTTGTCCTGACATTCAATAAATATGAAGGCAATTAAATAGAGAATCTTGCGAGCCCGTTAAATAAATGGAAATGTCATTTATTAAATACGAATGCCATGCAATGAATACAAATTCCAGTCAGCCAATTGATAAGTACAAATTCAACAAAATAAAAAAATGCCATTTATTAAATACAGTAGTCACAAAAAAAATAAAAATTCAATAAATCAAAGTCAATTCAATATAAATGCTATTTGATAAATACAAATGTCATGTAATAAGTTCTGTTAAATAAAAAAGGCACTTCTTAAAATCTAATGTCAAAAAAGAAAGACAAATTCTAATAAAAATCCTACTGAAGAAATGGCACTAAATACAAGTAATTGAAAAGGTCGACATTGAAATGATCGCTAAATCGGGTCAGTATTGTGTTATTGATTAGTGGAGTATTTGACGGGTTTGTTTTAAAAAATGCATTGATATTTGAATGATCTATTTCAAAAAATAGATTTTATTTTTAATTTTGCACAAAAAAAAGCTTTCGGAGCATCTACTGTACATATGGTTAACATACACGAATACACGCGCACTTTCCGTCTGCAGCTGTTGTCATGGCAACTGCTGCTATGTTTTCGTATAGCTTTGTTGGTGGTGTCAGGCTGCCAACCAAAATCGTGATGACGATAGGTCACAAATCAAATGATCTTTTATAACCACCGAGGAGAAAGAAAATGACATTGTGGCTTGTTATTAGGCAGAATTCATCAGGTGTCATTATAAGTACCGCCCCTATGCCACACCCACTGGACTGCGAAATGACAAATTGCCATCATGTGAGACGTTTGCTTATAAGCATTCATTTTTTGCAATTGACCCACTGTTATGGATGAAATATTTTTCACTTTACCTCTTAAAAAGAAGCAAGATCAGCTCAACCGCAAGCACCAGAGGAGTCAGTATCCGGTAAAAAACTTCAAGTGGACACAATCGTTGTCTTCCAAGTACATCACCTCCATCCCTGCATGCCGCACATAATACTGTTTGCATGCACACACAGGAGACAAAATAATATTGAAGTTGTTTTTGCATTTTTATGACAGTTCACGTGATCAAAATGTGACTTGAAACATGGAAAATGCTGTTAAGTTAAAAAGTCATTTTTTAAAGGTTTTATTTATTTTTTCCTCTCATTGATTTGGATTCTATTTTTAATTGAAACTTGGATATGAATGTATACGGTATATTTTTACTTTGGATGGTTTCACCTCTCTTGATGTTGAGCGGGAGTTGATGTGCATGTTTGTGCTTCAGCCACCATGGTTGTTCCCCCAAAGCTGTCTCTGTAATGTCAACCTTGTCCATCGGCTCTTCTGGAGAAGATGTACCCAACAGATCTGGAACACGCAGATTTGTGTACAGAAGAAAAGAAAAAAAAACCCGAAATATATATTAAACTCTTACCTTCTTGTCTCAGGAAGCAGAGAGCATCCGTGTAGCCACTGTAGAAGATCTCAGCCAGCTCCTGTGAGTCAAACCCAGGCTGATATTATTGTATAAGTCCCAAACATGGAGTCAAAGGTGGACGCATGCATATCAAACATTGACGTTATTATGCGAGTACACCATGAGGTCGAAGATGAACATTATACAATGTTAGCCGAACACAATGTGAGTCAAATGCTTTACTGTGGAGACACGGAGTCAAACGCCAAACTTACGGTAGTGTGAGTCAAACATGGAAAAAAATGAGAGTCAGAACAATCTGAGTCAAATATGTTTTCAAACACAATAAGTGAGTCAAACATACAAAAGTTGAAGGCAATTTTGGATACAATGCGAGTCAAACAAAGTAAAAAAATGGGCAAGATATGAGTCAAACTTGGAGTCAAAACATTGAATCCAACTTGGGCACAATATTGTGAATCAAACATTGAAAAAAATGTGAGTCAGTTTTGGGATAAAACAGAGTCAAATAAGGTTGGGCAACCCGAACCTCTGGTGCAGGGGGCAGGAAGGAGGTGTAGATGCGTCGCACGTTTCCCGCAGTCACCTGGATGTTGAGGTTATTGCAATGCACGGAGATGGCGGTCCAAGCGCCATCTTTGGGGCTGATGTCACTCTCACTGCAGAATGGGGCCATCGTGATGGTGTTAGGATGCTCCAGCAGTGGCATGTTGTTGCTCAGAGCTCCATCCATGTATAGCTAAGAGACAGACCGGTTGCTACTTTATTGATAGAAAGAAAGGGAATGATATAGTCGTGGTTTGCCTTTTTCGGTATTGGCTCACTTGTCCTCTGTAGGAAGGTGGAATCAAGCCACAGTAGACTGGAAAGAAGCAGCTGCACATCAGGACCTACAGTCATAGACACGAGAATGTAAATCAAACACCAACACTATGAGGTGGGTCTAACATTGATGGAGATGGATTTTAACAGCTACGCAATAATGTGATTCAAACATGGAGACAAAAACATTGACAGAATAATTGATGGCGTCAAATATGGACGTAATTAATGCGAGTCCAACATTGCAATCAGACGTGGACAAAATAATGCGAGTTGAACATTCTCAAGCACGGGTGTCAAAGTCAAGGCCCGGGGGCCAGTTCCGGCCCACCACATCATTTTATGTGGCCTGCGAAAGAAAATCCTGCGTTTCAATTTACATGATCCTTGCTAAAATCCGTACTGAAATGCAAAATCGTCATGTATAATAAATGACGATGCGATTTTGCAATAATTTTGTGACCCCTGTTTCCACTCACTTCAATAATAATGGAACAAACAAAAACAAAATGGCTGTTTTTAAGACACGTCACAAGGAAGCAGTGACAGCTCCGATGAAGGATGAAGTGACAGCCGAAACTGTCAGCCAGGTAAGAGTTGAAGAGAAACTTCACCAAAAAAAAACAATTGTCCGGAAAAAAAAAAGAAACTTCAACAAATAGTTGACTTGAGTGATTTCAAAACCTGTAATCCATGATTTGGTTGTGAACAAGTTATGCAAAGAGATGATTAAACATTCATTCGGCTTCACTGACGTAACGGCCCGACAAGGAAAACGTCATTCCAAAGTGGCCCGTGAGAAAAATGAGTTTGACACCCCTGTTCTAAAGCATAGCCCTCAAACCTCGGTCGTCGAGATGTTTGCCCCCTCCAACACATCTGATTTGTACCCTGCTCTAAAAAAAAATCTGCCACTCAGCTGCAATTGACTAAAGAAACGTGCAGGACAGCGGCCCTCGACGACCCGGGTTTGAGACCTGTGCTCTGAATTGAGCGACCCACCTGTATGAGCTCCTCCCTGCTGTCAAAGTGGGACACCAGGACGTTGCTCCCGTCGCTCATCCTGGTGAGTGACACGCAGAGCCTCCCCGAGGCTCGCCGGTGGGCATCTGCCGGAAGCTTCTCCTGCAGGGAGTTGCGAACCGTTCGCTGGAGGCTGAAGGTCGGGTGGAAGATGCTAAGGTGATGCTTTCTCGCCTCCTTGGCCACCGCCAACACGTCGGCGCACACCTGCTCTGAGGACCCCGTTTGGAAATGTCAGCATTTTGCTGATTACGGTTGATGCTACACTGTGTTGGCCCCCATCAGGGGGTGTGGTTTCATTCACGGTTCCTTTTTCGGGTTTATTTTAGAGTGAGGCTTTCTCACCGATGGGAAGTCCGACGGTCAACGCCGCGGCCACCAGGCATCCCGACGACGCTCCACAGATCTTGGAGGCCCCGTACACCAAGTGCGCCGCTCGCTCCAGGATGCTCGTCACCGCTCCCAGGTAGTAAACACTACGGAAACCGCAGCCAGCAAAGGAAATATTCCACTCTTCACCCCGGGTAAACATCCTCTCAAATCTTCGACGCCTCACACACAAGCTCTCATTCTCACACGCACATGGCAGTGTTGCGCAACAGACAAGATCGGTTTACAGAGCTCTTTTCATAACATCGAGGGAGGGGCAGAGTTCATGAAAATAATCTTCAAGCTGTTCTCCTTCCAGGATCAAAGTACTCAAACTATTACATTTGAAATTTGTAATCATGAGATGGATATAATTCAATATGAGTCCCAACCTCAACAAATTCAGTTTTTTAATTTTTGGTGATGTTAACACGAGACAAGGAGTCAACTTTCAGCTATGCTGGTAATACACAGTTGTATATCTCTGTCTCGCCTGGCGAATCACTGCATTGGCTCCATGTTTTTTTTTTAAGATCGATTTCAAGATTCTTTTAATAGTTTATGCGTCTTAATGGTGTTGATCCTTCTTATCTTTCAGAAGTGCTTGTAACTTATGAACTCTCACAGTACCTGCGCTCCAAAGGCAGAGGGTCAAGTGGGGTGAGTAAAACCGTGATCATGTGTTTGACTCATCAGAGGGTGGAGCCTGGGAAGTGGGCGGGCGCTTGTGGGGATGGGAATGATTTTAATCTGTAAAACCCCTTGAATTACAATCTTTGTATGAAAAGAGCTCTATCGCAAAGTTGCGAGTGACCGCTTGATTGACTACCTGCAATGTAAACATGGACACACACAACCCTGTGGAATGACCACATGTCAAAATCTGCTGGACCACTAACATTGTAAAGTCTCCGTCTCTACATTACATATGATCCAAAGCAGATTTGGCATGAAAAATGAGTTGCGTAGTTCACAGCGACATAAACACGGACACACACAACATTGTGGAGTGAGCAAGTGAGAGTCAACTGAAATGTGAATCCTGATTAAAGGAATAAAATCTCCACATCAAGCAAGACCCAAGGCAGATTGGGTATGTCCAATAAGCCACTGCCCAGAACATACAAAATGGACACACGCACAACATTGTGGAGCGACCACATGTCGGCATGTATTCGGTACCGTAAATTGAGGGTTACCTTATTTGAGGTTAAGTGGGAGGTTCTCGATGACATGTGGGTTTAGCCACCAGTGCACCTCACTGGACTCTAGAACTTTCACTGACACCTCAACCAGATCACGGTCTATAAGATCTCTGCAGGGCATTTTCACATTAAGATTTCCCGGTTTGATTAACAATAATTAGGTGATTTTGCCTTATTGTTATCTTCCAGGAAGCGGAGCGCATCTGTCCAGCCGTTGTGGCAGATCTCAGCCATGGCCTGTGCAAATTTGATTTGCTTCACAATATAAGTTTATAAAAATGCAGACCGCAGTGACGGTCGGAAAAGGCAAAAATTACACATTAACTCTGACAGGCGAGGCAGTTCCGTTAAATCCTGTAGGTGGCTGTAATGAACCATCAACACCACTGGACTCGATTGTGGTCTAACACGGATGGGGGGGCACCATTTTGGGGGGGATCATTGCGCAATAAATGCCCATAAAACCACAAAAAGAGACGCTCCACTCTTTCTCACTCGAGCTCGACATTCTTGTATTTTTATACGTAAAATTGTGTTAAAAACTGTATTGTGTCCACATCACCTGTGCTCTGTGAGTTGGCATCGAAAGGTGGGCTGTCGTGGTGACATCGGGGCCGCGCCTCTCTGATTGGACAGGGGGGTGATCACGTGACTACAAACTGCCCAAATAACGGTGCGTTACACGTCATCGAGCGTCTTGCTTTTGTGCCACGCTCTATTTGGGTTAGTTTTTAACCTGTTCATTTTTTTTGTTGTTGTTTTTGTCTTTAGACGTTTTAATTCGAAACGATGAGCATCCCGGTGGTCGACTTTAGCGTGGCTAGTCTCAGCGTCGAGGATATGTCCAGTGCAGACCTTCACCAACTGAGCAGAGAGTTAAAAGTAGCTTTTATGGAAGTGGGCTTCGTCTTCTTGAAGAACACTGGCATCACGCAGGAGGAGGTGAGACTCAATAGAAACAGTAATTGTAATAACAACAATAAAAGTAATAATTTAAAAAACGGTGAGGCGAAACTGCATTGGCATTCCAGGTCCGCTATTATATTTTGTGGTTGTTTATATGCTGTAAAAGATGTCAGTCAAATATTGAAACTTCTATTTTGCTAATCCACTATCCTAACCCAAGAAAAATTATTGAAAGCAAACAACAAAGTAATCTCATACTGTGTTTTTTTTTTCCTCCAGTGCAAAGGTCAAAATTGACATTGAGGGACGGCACACAACTGCCGAACAAGAAACCAGCATTAAGTGGAAGAACTCATTTTTATCTTTTTTTCCCACAAAAATAAACTCACTCATTTGATGTTTTATAAGGTATAGTCCTGCATATCATTCCAAATCCTCCCAAAAATTATTAGGCCTACTCACCTTGTAATACAGGGCAGGATAAGACCCGCAACCAAGAAATGTCTGCCATCTAGTGGTGGTTGGTGATATTAAAATTTAACCTCCTGCCCCATGCTAGACCACAACAATGTTCGTGGTCGATGTAGTCTGCACAAATGTTCAATCATCAAAAAATATCACATAATGCAATGCAGTTTTTTATGTTTAAAAAAATGAAAAACGGAGGCCAGCAGACAAAGTGAATTGATTGAATTTTTTTCTACATTTTTCAAACGGGTCAATTTGACCTGCAACATAAAATGACTCAAAACTATTGTTGACCAATCATATTTATAGTATGGGCACCCTCAGATTCGTATATTCTGATTTTGTTTTTCTTTTTTTTCCTTTCCTTTTGGGGATTTTTTTTCATCTGTTTTTTTTTTTTTTTTTGTGGAAACTTCAATCAGTTTTTTTGAAGATTTGTTGGGGTTTGGGCAAAAAAAAAAGTTTTTGAGGAAAGTGAATCAAGGGCCACTCATGTCCTGCCGGTTTACCGGTTCCCCATCCCTGCGCTATGTACAAATAATTGATAATTGTCGCTAAAGATCGTTTCATGTACACGATGAATGAGGCCACTAAATTGCCCTCTTATGTATGTTTAAAACCAGGATTGTGTTGCAAATTTAGCTCTCAACTGTGTGAAAAGCGTACTGTATTGTCATATTTGTTGCGTACTTGTCCTTTTATTTATTTTTTAATATCTCTACTTTTAGTGCAAATGTTAAAACTTGTTCGGATTGTAAAAAGGGAAAACAAGTACCTGTGCCGGTAAAAGTTCTGCATTTCCATGCAGGTGGATCATGTGATGGATGCTTCTAGAAGGTTCTTCCTGCAGCCAGATCAGCTCAAGAGGTTGTTCGTGAGGAAATCCTTCCCAATCAATCCCTACCACGGCTGGGTAGCCATGGAAACTGAAAGGTATTATTTTGTGTCCGGTCCGTTCTGAACGCCCATTTGTACAGTAGCCGCCGAAATCTGTGAGTTCTGCAATTTGCTGCTCTTTACGGGTGTTGTGGCACAATTAGCAGACAGAGACTGGTACACATTTTTCTGGGTCACAGATAGATGATAGACGAGTGTAGGCTGACAGCACTGTGTACATCTCGGTAGGGTTGACAGTCTCAGGCCCGGTGAGCCAGTGGTTAGTGCGTCGAGCTCACAGTGCAAAGGTCGTGGGTTCGATCCGGCTCTGGCCTTCCTGTGTAAGGTTTTCATATTCTTCCCGTGCCCGCGTGGGTTTGCTCCGGGTACTCCGGTTTCCTCCCACATTCCAAAAACATGCCTGGCAGGCTGATTGAACACTCAAAATTGTCCCTAGACTTTTTTTTTATCTCCTTTTAACCAACGAGTACGATTTATTTTAAATTCTGCTTTTGTACACATTCAGGTTACATCCAGAAAAACCGGGAGATCTAAAAGAGGCGTTTAACCTGACTTCACTGCATCCTGACATAGTAAGCATTTTATTCTGTGCGACGGATTGAAAGCACAAGCTTCTTTTTTTTAGCGTCCCTTGCATCAGCTCGGTGGCGAATCCATTCGCAAAAAAAAATAAAAAATAAAAAATGGTAACTCGTGATTTGGATTCCTCTATAGAAATGGCCCTCATCCGAGGCGGCCCCGGGATTCCAGGAGACCCAGATGACTTTTTTCCACCGCTGCAAAGAGCTGAGCCTGCGCATTTTGAGGGTGATGGCCCTCAGTCTGGATGTGGACCCCGATATCTTCCTGAATGCACACCGCCTGATTGGAAGTACTGAGGCACACGTTTTTACTGATTTAGCCACGAAACCTGCTTTGCTCTTACAGGAAATTATGTATTGATAATATCAATAATGTAAAAACTGTTCTACAGTTGTTTCAAATTGTTCCTCATTGTGTCTCGTTGTAGCCGAAGAGAACTACACAACGCTACGTTCGTCCTACTACCCGCCGGTGAACAGTGAGCAAGCCAAGGAGGGTCAGCTGCGATGCGGAGAGCATTCCGACTGGGGGAGCATCACTTTGCTTTTCCAGAACGCTGAGGGTCTCCAAGTATGCAAGCAAAGAAAAAAAAATGATGATGATGGAGTCAAAATGTCATTACCAAACGTGTGCGTGCATGCGTGCGTGCATGTGTGTTCAGGTGCGCCGTCGTTCCCGCGAGTTCATCTGCGTTCCTTCCGTGCCCGGAACCGTTCTCGTCAACATCGCCGACATGATGCAGCGTTGGACCAGCGACCATTTTGTCTCTGTGGTGAGCGCTTTCAAAACAACAGAAAAGTGAAATATCAACGAACTTTAAGATGTTGTCCGTATTTTGTTTAATATCTTATCCCTGTCATCCTGATGGGCACAATACCCTGATGCGTACAAATTAGAATCAAATTCACGAAAGACTTATCGAATTTGTTTTTTGCTTCCATACTAAAGACCCCCGACAGTTACAGATTGCTGCAGTAATGATGATTTTTGTTTTTGTCCAAGTGCAAATATTTACCCTGTCTTTTCACTTATTTAAAGTATTTCTTCAAATAACTGGAACTTGGGCAAAAATGCTGTGAGTAAAGAGGTGGGAACCAGGGTGGCGGCGAAACCATCATGTGATCATCCAAAGATTGTCATTTGTATGTGCCCATCAGCCCCACAGAGTTTTACTCCCCCCGGCCGGCGACTGCAGCAGCACCCGACAGTCTCTGGCTTTCTTTCTCCACCCCGACAACGAGGCCGTGGTCAGCTGCATCGACGGATCCGACAAGTACCCCCCGTTGCGGCCGAGCGCCTACGTCAAGGAACGCGAATACGACTCCTATGGGCGGGCGTAATGCACCCCCCCCCCCCAGGCCCCGGGCCCACCCAAACCCGCTCACTGCTTTACTGCCGCTAGTCCAACGTAATGAGAAGTTAGTTGAATCTGGCGCCAACAATGGGCCTTCCTCACCACCCTGCGGGCAAACTTTTGAGGCCACGCCTCTTGCATGCACTGTGTTTCAGTACTGCACTATTGCATTGAATATCCCCACACAGACTACACCAATCCAATTATTAGTGGGTAGACAGATTTGGTGCCCAATAAAGATTGTGAGACAATTTTGGGGGATTTGTTGTCTCAGATGCAAGCTTGTAATTAAATTAAAACTGGGTGTCATGATTCTGTTTGTGACCAACAGGTGGCACTGTAGGGCTCTCCGTGCAGCTGCACACCCGTTGGTCGTTATGTAGTTATTGCTATAAAAGGACTCCCTCCCGACCACTCTTTGTTGGGTCATTGTTGTTGTTTGCTTGCAACTGTCGTGTTTGTTTCTGTCATGGTTTTCTTCCTGTTAGTTTTTTGCCACAGTCATGGTTTTGTTTTGGTACTTTGGATTCCTTGTGTTCTTGGAACTTTGTTTAGGATTTACTTTTCTGTGTTTTAATACAATTGGTCAAGTACACCCAGCTCCTTCCTCTTCCTCTTGCCTGCTTTTTGAACGTGACACCGGGAGGAATCAAAGAATGCTGTGACCGGATGTTTCTTCATGATTCTTCATCGTTATCCTGACAAAATCCTAAATACATACTCAAACATATGTAATATGTTCAATGGAAGCATTGAATGAATTTACATCCATTCTATAAACTCTGAAAATTATTGGCAGGAGACACCAAAAAAACCAAGAAAAAAAGGCTTTTTGAAACTATTCTATATGGAATTTGGAATTCATCCATTCAACGCTTAATTTGATATTATGCTGCAACATATTCTCTCATGTTAAACTTGTTTTACTCAAATCATCCCACATATAATCTATAATGTTTCATTTCTGAAAAAAAAAATTAAATGGCACATTTCTCATTGGAGGTTGGTTGGTTCTTCTCTAAACAATGACAAAAGTCGAAAGTGATGAAAGCAACTATGTGGTCAATACAAAAGAATCACAACCCCCCCGCCCCCCAAATAAATGAATAGATTTTTTTTAAATGGAAACACGGATATATTTACATTTTGACAGAAAATGCATGAAACTTTTTGGGAAGAGTGATCAAAATAATAAAAATAACATGGTATAATTTAGTTTCCTTGTCATTTCAAAATGATTCCATGGAATTTGTGCAATTTATGAGTAAAAAGGGTGTGCCACCCAGAAGGCTGGGTGGATGCGGCCATCACGGCACCACAAAATTATTATAATTGAACAATGCAAGACAATACATCTTTATTTACCGGTATATCGTGCTTTCACAACAGCAATATGTTATGTGCCCCTTTGTTGGCCAATTAGAGATTAATGCCAAAGATTACACTGCAAATACACAATACCGGTAGTTTAATTTGTACCATCCCACATATATTGCACAATACATATTAATGCCAGAAAGAATCCTTCATAGAAAATTCGTCACTGAAGTTTGATTTGGCGTTACTTAAACATTGAATGTAATAAAGCAAATTGGAAAAAAAATCTCGAGAATCATTGAATGAAATTAAATTGTGAGGAAAATTGGATGAATGACAGTTATTGGCAGGAGAGACAAAAAAAACTAATATAGATATGATTCAGGTCTGCTGTTTTTTGGAAAGTATTCTTCGGAATTTGTGCAACTTTTTGACTCAGTGAAGGGTGTGCCTTGAAAATTGAGTGTTATGATGACTCACCCGAGGAAACGTGGGGCCCCACAAAAGTAATTCATTTCTATGTTCTGTGTCCCGTTGGATGCAAATTAGACAGAATTCTACAAAGATGCTCCAGTTTAATTTATATCAGCCGTATTATAATGAATATTTTTTTTTTTTATGAATATGGACATGCAGATCCTAAAAGGGCATGTTTCTCACTAGGGCTGAACAATTAACCAAATTCGAACCGACATCGCAATGTAGTCGAATGCAATTTTTTCATGTTGCAAAGGCTGCAAGTGGGGAAAAAAAAGATCAATCTTGGTCGGTCAATGGGCATTCTCTCTCTCTCTCTCTCTCTCTCTCTCTCTCTCTCTCTCTCTCTCTCTCTCTCTCTCTCTCTTTATAAAGTACTGTAGACCGAAAAAACATCATTTGCCTTGAACTCATGAGAGCAAAACCAAATTTGATATTGTTGATTGTACCAGAGATTAATCTATTAAATGTGTTTGTTGAAATAAGAAATCAGAAAATCACGTATTAAATCGCAATCGCAATATGACGGGAGGGAAAAAATGATTATTTTCCAAAATCGTTCAGTCCCATTTCTCGCTTGAGTTTGACTGTATCTGGAAAAACGCTTCACTCTTTCTCCCTCGAGCTCGATATTCTTGTTGGTATTCGTAAAATTGTTAAGATATGTGCTTATTGTGTTTTATTGTTCTTGTTCCTGATTGTAAAGTGTCCTTGGGTGTTTTGAAAGGCGCTTATAAATAAAATGTGTTATTATTATTATTATTATTGTATCGCGTCCACATCACGAGCTTTGCAGGTGATCTGATAGCACTCACGCCACACCCCACCTCTCTGATTGGACCGGAGTGATCATGTGACCGCAAATTTACCAAATAATCGTGCCTGCCACATACCCAAGTGTCTTTATTTTGAGCTACACTCTGCTGCTTTTAGTTTGTTTTTTTTTCTTTAATATTTTTGTTTGTTTGTTTTTAGACGTTTTAATTCGAAACGATGAGCATTCCGGTGGTCGACTTTAGCGTAGCCAGCCTCAGCGTCGAGGATATTTTCAACGCAGAGCTCCACCAACTCGCCAGAGAATTAAAAGTGGCTTTTACGGACGTGGGCTTCGTCTTCTTGCAGAATACTGGCATCACGCAGGCGGAGGTGAGAATGAACAAAAATTGTTGTTGTTGTCGGTAATTTACCCCCCCCCCCCCCCCAAAAAAAAAAAAAAAAAACGGCGAAAGGGAAACTGCCGCGGAATTCCAGGTCCACTGAGTTTCATTTTGTGGTTGTTAAAATGCATGCTTGTAAATGATTTCAATGAACTATTGGAACTTACAGATAGCTCAACTTTGCTCCTCTATGTCAGGACGGATAATTTAAATGCTGAACAGGGCTAGAATTTTTCATCAGTGTTACGAGGGCCAGATAGGACCACGCATTTCCGAACCAGTTAAGAAGAGTACCATTTTTAAACATGGACAATGTAAAAGACCGACTAAGCTTACCCAGTAGCAGAGGGCTTGAACCAAACACCAAACCAAACACCAAAATAACAACATTCTGTCATTTTTTCCCCCCAGTGCAAAAGGCTCTCTTGCATTAAAAAAAAAAAAAAAAATATATATATATATATATATATATATATATATATATATATATATATATATCATTAAAGGACGGCACAAAATTGCTGAACAAGAACCCAACATTAAATGCAATAACTCAATTTTGCATATTTTTAAAAATTAAAACAAATGTACTCATTTTTATAATATTATTGAGGAACAATGTTTGTCCTGCATATTCCAAATTCAGAATATATTATTCTGCATTTCCGTGCAGGTTGATAACGTCATGGATGTTTCCAGAAGGTTCTTTCTGCAACCAGATCAGCTCAAGCGGCCGTTCAGCAGGAAATCCTTCCCAAACAGTCCCAACCACGGCTGGGTATCCCTGGAGACCGAAAGGTGTTTTTCTTTTTTCTTTTTTTTTTTTGGGGGGGGGGCTTGAGTGGGATTTACTTTTCAACAGAAGCACAGTCGGGTAACGCAATACACACATTTCTGGGATTAAGCCAGCGAGACAACCACCACTCGTGGGCCAATCAAGGCCGTCCCGGTGTGGAAGCCGGATTCATGGAAAAGCACCATTAGGGAAAAACACCCCCCGCCCCAACTCGTTTAAGTTGACCAAGTGCATGAGAACATGTCTTTTTTTTTGTCTCCTTTTAACCAACGAGTACGATTTGTTTTGAATTCTGCATTTGTACCCATTCAGATTAGATCCACAAAAACCGGGAGATCTAAAAGAGGCGTTTAACCTGTCATCACTGCAGCCTGACATAGTAAGCATTTTGTTCACATTGAAAGTACAACCCCTGTATCAGCTTGGCAGACAAACTATCTCCAATAAAATTAGTGACTCATTGTCATTTGTGTTCCTCTGTAGAAATGGCCCTCATCCGAGGCTGCCCCAGGATTCCAGGAGACCCAGACGACTTTTTTCCACCGCTGCAAAGAGCTGTGCCTGCGCGTTTTGAGGGTGATGGCCCTCAGTCTGGATGTGGACCCCGATATCTTCCTGAATGCACACCGCCTGATTGGAAGTACGATGCACTAAGTCGCACTTCTTTTCTGATTTAGCCAGGGGATCGGTTTTGCTTTTACAGGATATTATGTCGTAATAATGTAAAGGCTGGAAAATGCTCTTCTACAGACAAGCGCATTATTCTGTTGTCTGAAATTTTGTGTCTCGTTGTAGCTGATAAAAACGGTACGACGCTACGTTCACTCTACTACCCGCCGGTGAACAGCGAGCAAGCTAAGGAGGGTCAGCTGCGATGCGGAGAGCATTCCGACTATGGGAGCATCACTTTGCTTTTCCAGAACGCAGAGGGTCTCCAAGTATGCGAGCAAAACAAAAAATGATGATGATGGAGTCTAAATGTCATTCCCAAACGTGTGTGTTTATTTGTTCAGGTGCGCCGTCGTTCCGGCGAGTTCATCTGCGCTCCTTCCGTGCCCGGAGCCGTTCTCGTCAACATCGCCGACCTGATGCAGCGTTGGACCAGCGACCATTTTGTCTCTGTGGTGAGCGCTTTCAAAACAAGTATAGAAAACTTCAGTATCAACAAACTTTAAGATGTTATCCATATTTTTTATTTTTATTTTTTAAGGGAGTGGAGAAAAGCAGTCTATTTCCAAGTAAAAAGTTCTTTATTTTTGTGTGTGTTTTGAAGAAAAAATAAAGTTTCTAGATTTTGGGGAGGGGTTCTTATATTTATTTTTAGGTAAAAGTATCTGGGGATAAGAGAAACAGTAGCAGATTGGCTTTGACAGTTTGCAAATAATATCATTTGAAAAGCATGGTGAGAAATGGAGTCGATGTATCCGGGAAATGTTTATAAAATTTAATGTTGTATCCATCATGACTGTGTGTTTTCCCATCGCAGAGCTTTCATGGCTGTGCTAACTTTTATTTCCAGTGTCTCCTTTTCATGAGTCTTTCGGGAAGGGAGTTCAATATTTTAGCCCTGCCATCCCGATGGGCATAATAATCTGATACGTACAAATCAGAATAAAATTCCTGCAAGGTTTATTTAATTTGCTTTCGCTCCCATGCTCAAGATCCCTTACAGTTCTATATTTCTGCAGTGGTGATGACTTTCTATTTGTTTTAGTCATTTACACAGCCTTATCACTTTTTAAAAATATTTTTTTTAAATGACTAGAACTGATGCAGCACCTTCGTTGCGATAGTTTAATCTGAGGGTGTGCATCAAGAGACCATCCAAAGCTTGTCATTCATCTGTGCCCATCAGCTCCACAGAGTTTTACTCCCCCCGGCCGGCGACTGCAGCAGCACCCGCCAGTCTCTGGCTTTCTTTGTTCAGCCCGACGACGAGGCCGTGGTCAGCTGCATCGACGGATCCGACTTGTACCCTCCGGTGCAAGCGGGCGCCTACCTCATCGAGCGCTTCAAAAACTCCTACGGGCGGACATGAAGGCACCCACACCGCCAACGAGCAGCTTCATTCACTTGACGATCACAAAAAAACAAAAACAAAACAACAAAAACACAGATTTGGTGTGTAAAACTGAATGTAAAATGTGCAATATGTCTCATTATACCAAAATAATTCCTCCTCAGTTATATTAATTAATAGTTCTTAATATTTACAATGAATTAAGAGTTGAATGATCAGTTCTTTCATTCAAGGGAAATGCTTAAAATATATATGGGGAAACATTTTTTTTAATCATAAAATTATTCTCATGTAATTAGAATTACCTAATCATTAAAGAAAAGAATGCTTAAAAAACTAGTCAAAAAAAATTTTTTAAGTAATTTTAACTGTAACAATGCACACAATGATGCTATCAATATCTAAAAACCCAATTTATTGAAAAATATAAATACTGTGTACCGGTACAAAACAAAAGTGTACCCCCCCCCACCACACCCCCCAAAAAAAATAAACGTTTTCATGAAATTATTTGACTTTTTTTCCTCCAATGTATGACTTTACAAGTTATTCGCAAGTGCATATTTTTCCCCTTTGAAAGTAGACAACTAATTGTACGGTAACATATTTAGCAATGTAGTGCGATTATTTGGAAAATATTTTTATATTTTCAATTATCAGACCGACTCACTTTTAACATTCTTAAATTCTTTGTAAAAAAAAAAAAAAAATGTCTACTACAACTAAAAAAAAGCAAAACAGCTCACCCCTTCTGACACTCACAAAACAGCAAAAGCTCAGCCATATGGTCGCCTCATGTAAATTTATAATTACTGTATACAACTGTTTTATTTTTATTCGCATCTGATTGGTAGAATGAATTTCTCTATGTATTTAATTGATGCTTTTTCTTGTACTTAGCAGCAAGCCCCTTTTCTGTGTCGCAATAAATTTCTGGTTCTATGGTTATTGTTACACGCTGTCACTGCAAACATCACACAAAATAAATGAATAAATAAATAATCAAGAAAAAGTATCAGACACACTGTAAATTTGCCACCTGATTTACTTTATTGCCACTCGGAACGAAATGGCGGATGTTGGGACTCAGGAAGTACAGACGCATACGTGCATGACAAAATGGAGAAGGAATCAAGCCAAAAATCCAATTAGTGAATTCAATAAATAAAATGACATGAAAAAGTAAACATCTTCAAGAATGTGGTTCTCGTGACAAAAGTAGTTGTAGATCAAAATTAATAAATTAATAAATACTATGAATCATTTTCCCTTGAGTTTCAAGGGCAACAATTTTCAGGGTCAAGAAATGCTTTCATCTCGGGCTGCAAAACTCCAGGAATTCTCAAAGTTGGAAACTTCCAACTTAAGGGAATACACCAAGAATTTAATTAAAGGATGACTCCGAATATTGAAATTAGATATATTTAAATACGATAAAGTTCAGTTTCCCCACCTTAAATACCCATGTAAATGCACCAGAAATTTTCCAAAGCTTTGCAGCCCAACTTTTATCCAGTGGTATTGCAAACAAACAAAAGTAGACAAGACAGAAGGTTGAAATGCCAACAAACACGCGCTCCCTGATAGGACCCGTCAAGAGTGTCATTTGCAACAGGTGTCTGGTTAACGCCTGTTTTCCTCCAGCTCCTGCGGCTCCAGACTCTGCAGTAAAAAAACCCAAAAACATCAAATACAACCTGATTCCCGCAGGTTGGTAAACTTCTCAAGATGATGCAAAGAAAGGTACAGATCGCTTTTGCCGGTTGTGGAACTTAATAACTCATTCAATGCTAAAATTAGAGTATCTATGTGTCGCTGAGTCCAAAACACAATTAAAAAAAAAAAAAAAAAAGCTAACAAGAAAGTAGAAATTTGTATTTTTACTGGTGTGTAAAAAAATCATATGTAAGCCATTTGTTTTTTTAGGATAATCTTGTGAGATATGTGTTTGAGAATTAAATTTATGTTACCTCGCTGTTGTGCTACGATATAAGTGGAAATCCGTAAGTAATTCAAAGATTTAGAATTATTGATGCCATAACTATTGGACAGGGGGTGAGGGCCTGTACAACTGATGAAGTTCCTCTCCCTCACTTCAACATAGTCTCGTGGCATAGAGATGCCATCAAAGCAATACTTTTATGTTCGATATGGCTTTTGCCTGAGCAAAAAAAACAAAAACAAAAACAAATAACAGGATCGATTCCTCCCCTAAAAAAATCCATGAATGTGTTCAGGCCAAAACAATAAGTGTTGCATTGGCGCCACCTGGTGGCATGGAAACACCTTGAACTGATTTGAGGAGGTTCATTCAGACCCAGGGTCACCGTGGGCCACTAGCCTGCATGTTTTACATGTTGCCAGCCCTCAAAGACTGGAGTTGATTAAGACCAAAGTAGTTCCTTTGCACCATCTCAAAATACAAACCTTTTTGGGGGTGGTTCAATTGCTTACAATGTTTCTGTATTTAGCAACAAGGCTTGGACCCCCATCCACACTTTACTCACATTTGACATCCGACTTGGATTGGACTTTTCTCTTCTCCACTTCACTCATGGCCTTAAATAGAGAAAGGAAAAAAAAAAAATCGGACTGAATCAAAAGTGAAGGCGGGTGGCGTCCCATGACTGGGGTGGTGGGGGGCGTTGTGCTATTTAAGGACCTGCTGAATGCCGCGCTTCTGAACATCGAGTAAGTCTTGCTTATTTTGAAGATTCTCGCGCTGCTTCTGCAGCTCTGCCACTTGTTCCATGATTATTTTGCTGTCCTTGGCCAGCTGCTGCTCGAACATCGCCAGCTCCTCCTCGGTGTAAGGGGAGTTTTGCTGCTCCAAAGTCTGAAAGCCATGCAACAGTTCAGTGATTCTCCAAGTGCGACATTTTTTATTTCAATCATGGTGTGAGGAAATCAGCGGTACCGGGGTTGGTTTCCCTCAAACATAATAATACTAATAATAATGTTGGTCAAAATGGTGGTACATGGAGAGCTTTGTTTTTTTTTCCTTCGGTGGTCCTCCTTCGTGTCAAAAATTTGCGAACAGCTGCATTGAATCAAGATGGCTTCTGATTGGCTCCGTGAAGGAATTCCTACCTCCCACTCCTCATTTTGGTGGAACTGCGGGTTCTTCGTGGCCGCCAGGAACTCGGCGAGTGACACCAGTCTGTCTTTGTTGGTGTCCACCTGAACACATCATGAATGGTCACTCCTGTTTCTACCTTTGATTACGTTACAGCCTTATTCCAAAATGGAATTTTTGGTGGGGGGACGGAAAACGTATTGCCTACGTTATGGTATAAGGCTGTATGTAACATAACAAAATGTGGAGAAGCGAAGCGCTATAAATACTTTGCAGATGCACTGTGCATCTGAATTATGAACCATACCACCTCAGACATGACATGCTCTCTCATGCGCCGCCTCTCCTCCTCCATCTCCACCATGTCGTCTTCTTCGTTGTTGGAGTTGTACACCTTCTCAAGCTTGAAGAGAGAACAGACAATATTCACTCGGTCCAGAGTAAACAAATGATTGCGCGAGAAAATATTTTGGGGGGTAATTCATGATAAAAATATCAAGCTCACGTTCAAAATATTACAAGCGACAGAACCTAAAGAGAGGTAATCATTATTTGAACAAAAACTCATTTATTCGCCCACCCTGAAGTGCAAACTGTTTTACTTTTAGGCTTTTTTTTTCTTTTTACCAGAATCAGAAAAAAATATTGGAACATGAATAGATAAAAGATTATTTAAAAAAATTAAATGACAAAAATATATTTCATAGTAATTTATCCCCCCCCCCCCACACACAAAAAAAAAACATTTTTCTCCTAATAAAAGAAGCCAAAAACTACAACCAAGAGAACCGAAAGACATGTACCGGTAATTGTTCTACGAATTTACATCTGAAAGAAATAAGATCAACTACTTTTCTATTTTTAGGGTGGAATTTGAAGATAAACTGGTCAAATATAGAATAATATATAAAATAATCCATATTAGCCTTTGCAATATGTTCTGGTCTACTCTATTTGTTACAGTGAACAGAAGATATCGGTCATGACAGAAAAACCGTGACGCCATGATGTCATACCTCTTTCACGAAGAGAGCCTCAAGCTCGTTCTCGTCAAAGAAGCCGTCGCCGTTGTTGTCTGGGCATACAAGGCAAATTTGAACATCCACAAAAAAATTCGAGTTATTGGTGTGAAACTTTTCAGGACTACCATGCAGTTTGAAGAAGGTCTTCGGATCAAAGTTGTCTGGTTCGAGACCGTCGGACTCCTCCCACACCTCCTTCAGCTGGTCCTCGCTTCCCTGTACATCAGGGATGTCAAACTCTTTTTTTTGGTGACGTTTCCTTTCACCTCTTACCTGGCTGACAGTTTCGGCTGTCACTTCAGCCTTCATCGGAGCTGTCACTGCTTCCTTGTGACGTGTCTTAAAAACAACTCTTGGTTTGTTGTTTGTTCCATTTGACATTTCAGTACAGGTTTTAGCAAGGATCATGCAAGTTGAATCGCATGATTTTCTTTCACGGGCCACATAAAATGATGTGGCAGGCCGGATCTGGCCCCCGGGCTTTGACTTTGACACCTGTGTTGTACATACACGTGCACACACACACGCATGTGCAGGCACACTGGCGTCATCTTAGGCATGTGCTAACGCTAAATGCTAGTTGACCTAACTGGGAATATTGTCCTATTAAATCCAAGGAAGAACTCAATTGGTTTACACATATGTGTGATTTGTTAGAGTTCTGATTTTTTTTATAAATTTGGAATGGAATTTGGATTTGGGAGTCCTTACTAGCTGAAAATCTACTGAAGTACAGTAACAGGGCATGTGTACTTGGTCACTTCTTTCCACTGCTGACCTACCGGGTGGTTGACTTTGGCGTGGTTGGCGTGCTTCTTCTTTATCTCCTCGTGGTGTTGCTCCTCCTTCTTACGCTCCTCCTCCGACATGGCCTTCAGCTTCTCCCGCCTCTCGTGCTCCTTCATCATCTCATAGCGCTTGAACTCTTCGTGATGCTGCTTGTCAAATTGCATAAGGTCTTTCGTAGCCTGTCGGGAGGTGATCGATGTATCATATATGTGACATACAGCGTACAAATGTTTGTTTCAAGCTTCATACTGCTTTGATGAGGCGGTCCAGGTCCTCAACTTCAAATGAATGCGCATTGTCGTGGTTGAGGTGTTCAAATTGTTTCAGCAAGGCCTGGTAGTCCACTTTCCAGCCTGCAAGGATATTTCAACAAACCATGGACGTTACAACACGTCTTGTGCAATAATCGGGATACGAGCTTGTAAGTCGCAACAACAGCATAATGTCGGGTTACCATCTCCCAGCTCCATGTCATGCTTGGCCTTGATGAGCATCCGCAGCCTGTTCATTTCCTCCCTCTTCAGCTCATCCAGCTTGGTGCGCAGATTGTTGTGGACAAAGTCCAGCTCTTTGGCAAGTTTGTCTGGCTGTGAGTTAGGACAACAGTTCAGTAGTGCAAGTGTATGAGCCAACAAACTTTTTTTTTCTGTATTTTTACCTCCATGTTGTTGGCGTTTTGTAACTTCTCCCGAAAGTGAGGGTCTTTCTCCAGGTATTCGATGACCTCCCTGAGGTAGCGGTCATAGTGTAGCCCGGTGTCCTGAGGCATGAATTAAATGGACTGCATTATTACTGTCATTACTGAATGGAAAGCATGCATAGCTGTTGATGTACAGCGGAACCTCCAAAGTCCAACACAAGTAGTTCTGTGAAGCGGTTTTACTTTCAAACAAAATACTCCCCATTGGAAATCCAGGGTTAAATGTCAAAGGCAATGCTTCATGTATTTTTTTTAAAAGGGACAGTGTGTGAATATGTATCGATTTTCAATGATCATTATTTATGCAAAAAAATATGTTCGAAAACATCAGCGTATTTTTTTTCATGTAATTGTAGATGAAGAAATCACTGATTATATTACATTGGGTGCGCCCCGCTACAAGAGGCTGCCATGTTTGGCCGCCATCTTTCCGCTCCGGACACCCGAGGGAGACGAACTTAGTGAAGGTGGCTCCTCAACATTATGACTACAACTGAACTCACTGCGTCGCTTGAGAGAATACTAAAAGTCGTTTGTGAAGATATTTTGCTTGCATCTCTGTTGTCGTGCGTGTGCTTGAAATGCACGCACTCATTTCATTGCATTCTGTTAGTTCGCCAGTAGATGACACTAAATCACACATTCAGCTTCCAGTGGACATGTCCAGATATGACGAGAGGACACTAAGTTCCATTCATTTTGACAATAAAATGGGTACATTTGCCTGGCGAACATCAAATTAGATCTTAAATAATCATGTCGTAATTTAATCAATAAAAATGTTTTGTGACTCACTACACTTTGTGGGGCATTCAGTTCATCCTCTTTGGGCGCTGTGTTCTCTTTGCTCTTGTTCACAGCAATGGGCAGTGAGTGGATGCACAGCCACAGACTCAGCAGAACCAGTACGCAACTGTCCAACGCTTTACCTCGTACCATCGCCATCCACTTTCGAAAATAGAAATGTATGGTTTTCAGATCATTAGTGGGATCCAATACACACAGAAAAAAATGATGACGTGCAATTTGAACAATGAGCCCATAGAGCACATAGGACGCATCTGTAAAGCAATTTTTTTTTTAATGAATACAGCCTTTTTCCAGGAGTTGAATTTACCTGGACTAATAGCAATTGCTGGGCACATTTATTCACACTTATATAACTGAGATTCGAACCCCAAACTTCAAAACTGTGTAGCATATGTGACACCATGCTTCCAGAATACCTGATTTCTTAGTTGTTTTTTTTTTCTTTTCAAAATTTCGGAAGCACATCTTTCACCTTGTCATTTAATTGAGGGTGTTGAGTGTGGACGTTTGAGAATTTTTCTTGTTGAAGTTTTATCTCGGACAAAGGCTGTTTCACAACAAAAATGTGGAAAAGGTGAAGCGCTGTGGCAACTTAACTGATCCACTGTATATTGTTTGTAACTATCTGATAATGGAATTTTTTTTTAATCTACAAACGCAGAGACCCAACTCTGCTTTGACAGAAACGAACCATCTGTTGGCTTTGAAGCGATTCTGCCAGAGAAAAAGGAACCAAAAAAAGATTAAAACAGTATATTGTGAAAATAAATTATAGTTATGATCAACGAAGACCAAAAAAATAATACTTACCTCGGTCCAGATGCACTTTTGACTCTTGAACGAGCTTCTTGTTAGCTTAGCTTGTGTATGTTTACAGCCGTCACCTGCTCCCTGCCACCAATACAAGCCGCTCGTGGCATCAACCTACTAGCCCAAAGGGGTTACCATGGTGACGCCCCGCTCACGGCCAATCCCATTGGACGGAAGAGCAACGGTGCAGTCGCGCTAGGTGCTGAGTGGACCATTTACCCGTCAATCAGGATGTCATCGAGCTGATTAAGCAGACCGTACGTGGCGCTCAGTCAATCATCGAGTGGGCGGGGTCAGTGCTCCCTGACACTTCCAAATAATTTGTATCATTTTATTGAGTATTTAAGATGTTTTTCCTCTGACAGGACGCAAGCATGGACTTAATGTGTTTTTATTCCATATCAGGCCCATCGTTGTCAATGTATTATACACTTATTGGGGTAAAAAGTCATATCAACATCAAATAAAACTTGATGATCCAGTAAGCTACTATAGACATTTCCTGCATTTCTAACCATATACTGTAAACAGAGTACTGAACATCTCGCTTTTTTACGGAGAATGTTGCACAGAACTTGTGGTCGGCTGCTTTCGTCTTTATTTTCAAACTATTTACAGTATGCAGTTCATATAGTATTTATTTGTGTTTACTCATTTCTATTCACGTTTTGAATTTATTTGATATATTTTCTTCCAAACTATTCACATTGTACTGCATTGTATTGCATTGGATTTCTTTTTCAGGTGAGTTTCATTTTTATACATATCTAACATGGATAAACAGACCACGCAAAACACTGATGAAATAAGATAAAATAAGAAAACCTTTATTTGTCTCACAATGGAGAAATTCGCAATTATTTATAAATTCATTAATTCATGTCTAATATTCTACTGTATTGTCAACTTAAAGCAATAAAGCATGTGAGTTATGTCCTAAAATGTAACCATGGATAAAATTAGCAATTGAAAACACAATTATATTCAAATATATAGTAATACATACATATAATCTAAATTTATGATCGTAGCTCAGTGCATTTTTTTATTGTACAGTACTGTATCTCGGTCCAAGAAATGCAGTAGTCGCGATGACGTCACGTGCCAAACAGAAGCTGGCGTGTTCACGTGTCCACAAGACGGCGCTGCTTGCCGCTCCAATAACGCCATCCCGCATTGAGTCAACCCTCCAAGCTCTGGTCCGACCCCTCCACCAAAAAAACTCCTTGTTCAACCTCCACAGGAACTGACGTCTATGCCGTGCAAAGTGGACGGGAAAAAAATGCAGCTGCGGGACAAAAATGGCTTCGATCACCGCTAAAAGGTGAGAAAGTGACACAATTTCCCCCTAACTAAAATGTTTGCGTCGAAACTTTTTTTGTCATCAGCTGTCGTCGCGGCTCCTTCACCGGGTTGAAAGCGACCGCTTCCCGTCTCGCAAAAACCTGCTTTTCTTCCTTGTTGTGAGACCGAAGCGTTTGAGTCGCGTCTACTTTTTTTTAATAATCATTAAATTGAACTCACGCCAATTCCACCGTCGTCATTTTTTGAAAACGGATCGAACCGAGCGTGTTTAAATTTGACGGCGCGTTCTCTCTCTATTTTTGTTAGCCGCTAACTTAGCAGCCAAGTCATGTTGGAAGTTTCGAATCGCTTCGAAGTGTTGAGTTTTTTTATTTAACTAACCGGCGTTTTAAAAGAACAGAACTTTACCCAACTTGTTTTGTTGTTTCATAAATGCTCGCGCCCTGCCTCAGGAATTTGTACAGGATTGAATATAAAAGGACTAATCAGGTGAGTGCAACTAGTTTATATGCCAAACTTTACTCTTAAAATGTTATTGCATTTGCGTGATCAGTGTGTTCCTGATGTCGCGTTATTGTTTTTCTTTTTTGTATGTAAACTTCACTACTCAAAAACTGTATCATCGATACTCTGAATGTGATTAGCATTTGTCTACAAATTGGTATTTACCTTCCTTTAGTTTGCTCCATTTGATGGTTGTATCGTCAAAGGGGGCGACAAGACCGGCAGCAAACAGTTAAAATTTGAGAATGAAAGACAACGTAATTATTATAATTGGGTTTATCAATCTGAAATATACCCCCAAACTATGATACCCAAATAATTTCAAACATAATTTCAAACTCATTTTACCCTTAAAAATATATACCGGCCATGAAAGTCGTCAAGTAAAAATGACAGTTATTACTTTTCTATCAGTTATTTTCGACTCAGTGGGATGTAGATCCTCTTATTATTTTTAATACTTACAGGATTTGGCAAACTGTCTTTAGTTGGGCACTCACTGATCAGCCAATTGTAGTCCATACCTTTCTATGCGTCATCTTTTAATTTTTTTATTTTATTTTATTTTTCCATTGGGACAGTGCACATTAATCAACACAAAAATAAAAAGTGTATTTGTACCGGACTTAAATGTTAGTTTTCAGCCTTAGTCCCAACACAGGTTTCTTCACATAAACAAAAACAGCTAAACAAATAAAATAATACAACACAACGCATAACATAAAACACAGACAATTATGCAATTTTCCTGCATACGCTTTGTTTGAATTAGTTCTAGATGAAAGAGGAGAGAATCAAAGTGTCCTTTCACCAGTGGATCAGAGACGCCATGCTCAAAATGTGCACACGTCTGTTAAAAGCTAAGGTTGAAAGTAAACAAGAAGCTGTAGCGTCCATTGACGAAAAAAGAGATTGGTTAACTTCTCCCGTCCCAAGTAAATTTGTTTCACTTCAAAGCGGCGACTCTTAATTCCAAATACGCATCCATGCATCCTCTCTCCTCATCCTCGGCTCCACAAGCCATCCATCCTAACGCACCAGCGCAGACTGCCCAACAGCGCCGACATCTCTGCTAAACAAAATGGGGCTGTAAAAAATGCTGCCCATTACAGGGGCAAAAAACAAGCACCGCGGCGTTGTGACGAATGCCGTGGCCAAAAACGCTGAAAACACTCCACATCGGGTCCACATGAAGTTACAACAAACACCATGTGACAAAACAAAAGACAAAGCCCAAAGGAAAAAACAAAAACAAAGCTCTTGAAGAGCACTTGCCGACTGCTGCCTATTAGGGCGCCATCTTGGAACATCTTAAGAATAAGAATAAGACAACCTTTATTTGTCTCACATTGGAGAACTTCCCAATTTGCAGCAGAAAAGTTATGAAAGGAAGAAAATAGAAGACCAAAAAGTTGAGACGTTAACCATCCTGGTTTGTCTGGCATGAACCACACAAGTAACCTTTACTGACTATCAGACTTCGACTGAAATATTAATTCAGCACATTGCTGTTTGCTCTGTAGCCAAGTTGATATTGCAAACGAGAATCTGTTCTCAATTGCCTAACCTGGATAAAGATTAAGAAAATACTAGTGGGTGTTTTACTGGTCAAAAGCTTCAGTTGCGTGTTTCAATTGTACATCACCGTTTACTGTAAAAGATGTTATTAACTTGAAACGTATTGCCGTATTTCACCATTGTTTTGTTTTTGTCATATAGTCCCTTGTCTATGCCCCAGTTACATATTTTCCATTTTAAAGATGTTCGCTTTGCACTTTGAGCCAACAGACTGCTAACATTGGCAGTTTTGAACTCTGATTGGAAAGCAGCAGCAACAACACCACTTGTGTGTGGTTTTGTCAATTCATGGAGGAAGTGAATGAACAAAGTCGCTTCCAAAGAGTTTTTTTGTTGTTGTTTTTTTTTTTTTTTAACCTCTGCACGCATTCTCCATTTGTTTCCACTCTAGCGAGCATTCTCGGCTGCCTCCTGAATACTGAAACAGCACAGCAGCCGACAGCTCCAATGTTGTTATAAAGTCTTAAAGTGCCACAACGCCCCCCCCCCCCCAACACTCCTTTTTTGTGTCATAATGCAGTAGAAGCCACTCAGTTCTGGAGTTTGTCTTGGATCAATTCACCTTCTCTCTTCCCTCTCATGCATCCGGCTGCCATATATGGATCGCCTTACGTCGTAGCATACGCGTATCGGGAGTCAGGTTCTTTCGGCGTTTTTGTTATCTTAGGATAGCTTTCAGTGTTCTTCTGCAGGCTGGAATCATTGTTCATGATTGATCTTTGAGGAACAAAGCTAACAATATTGCCAGTTAATATACCACAACACATAAATATCAAGGCGCTGCAGATATGCTCCCTTGAGTTTCAGATCTCCAAAGAATGATGGGACATGACACAGCTTTTTTTTTCTTTCAAGTCAGGAAAATGTTCGTGACAGTATAATTTTTGTTAGGGGATTTACATTTTTTTCTCCCATAAGGAAACGAACGGAACTGCTCTGTCCCAATTTACAATTTCTAACAACCAACCAGCCCAGCAAATAAAGGAATGAGACACCATTAAAGTAAAATCTAAAACTTGAAAAACTGACAGCCGTGCCAAACTGTGCCTTATGGATCAATGTTTAAACATTGTTACAGTTGTGCAAGGGTAAAACTAATAGTACCTTAAAGTGCAAAAAAATAAATAAATCAAAGCAATCCAGCTTTACTTTGTTTACAATAGCACATATGGTGAACCAGAAGTGTGTCCACTTCCTGTCTTTTTACTTTCATTTGTCACAAAGAAGCAACAGACCAAGTCAGCTGTTACCTTGCTAGCTTCATGCGTTCTATTTTTTTTTTTTCATTTTTTAAACATGCTTCATGGTTGTTGAAGTGTAAGAAGAATCTAACTACCTTGAATGCATTAAAATAAAACAGAGTTGCTTACAAGTGATATCGCCATGTGAGTCTGCTCACTTAACGTGACTTATCATCTTTTCACATTATTTTGTCATGGAAAAAAGGCACCAGACAACTGTCTCAGCTGTTAGTTTGCGACCTGTGTAGAGCTAGCGGCAGGAATGAGAAGCTGACATAGCATTAAAATGTGACAGACCTGTCACAACCCCCAGTCGTCAAAGGCGAATGCCTATGACATGCTAAGTTGCGCCTTGTTCATCTTATTTTATAGCCTTCTTCTTGGTCTTACAATTGTTAAAAAAATGTAAACCATGGGTTAAAACAGGCTAGCTAACAAGGGTAACTGTGTATAATTTACCGTCTCCTCAACTTCTGTCCCTAAAAAGCACTGATAACCATTTCAGTGGGTAATTCGCTTGCTAGCGGTTAGCACCACGTAGCTATAATAAAATGCAACAGGAAATTAGAGTCTTTGGCTACTGCGTCTGTCTCGAGCTTAACTTTTGCTAACTAGTGACCACACCTGTCTGAATACTCGAATGTGAGTCCTGAGATATCGCATGGTGGTTCCTCTTCTTTGAAAATAATGCGAATAAGCCAAAGACAAATTAAAAAGTGCAGAAATAATTCTTTTGACGCTGACGTCATTTATGATTCGTGATTCGGAATTTGAACTTTAGAGGCCCATTTTTGCTAACCTTTTTTCTGTCTTAGTTCATAGTGTGACGATGAATTGCGTGAACAGCAAATGACTTTAGTTTTGAGGCCAAAATATGATGACTCCATACTGTTTCAGGTTTGCTGTCACTCCCCGCTGGTGTTAGCGCAGCTGATAACACAGCCTTGTTGCTGCGAGCGCTAGTTACACGCCAGAGAGCAAGAGTGATTCAGAGAGAGAAACCCCTCAGGTTGCTTAGTATGCCAAATTCTTGAGGCGCACAATGGTGTGAGGCGAGCGCCGGCCCTAGCCAGCCTCCTCTACCACAATGGGAGGGGTGCAGTGGAGGAGCGGGGCAACAAGGGGGGAGCGGGAGGTCTTTTAGGAGTGCCTGGCGAGAGAAGGAACTCACTCAACCCTGTGGTGGTGAGATGAATGGCAGCTTTGACGAGTGAGTGGTCCGCCCCACCCACCCCCCCAAAAGAAAAAAAGGGGGGTTAACAGGTTGTGGTGGTTGTTTGACACGCGCTAGTTAAATTGAACCACTTGTGAGGTTAAGCTTGCTAACTCCGAGGTTAACGTCACCTTCATTATGATTGGAAGAACAGAATTTTGACATCAAAATAATACAATAAATTTAATATTATGCACTGTAGGCCTGAGCAAAATGGCCTCTCAGTAAAAATGTAAGATTCCTCTCACACCCTCTTTCGCTAATATTAAAAGCACATCATGTTGAAACATAAACGTTCACAGAACTAATAGAAAAAAACATTTCGTGACAAATGACGCAAGTAGAAGCGGTTCCTCTTGCATAGAACACTTTTGTCAAAACTATGTAAACATGATCAGAAAATGAACCATCAAACTGCATGGCTCAGCTGGTCCACGTATCCCAGTTTGGAAGCACATACCTCGGGTCAAAAGTTTTCAACGTGTCTTTGGCAGTGTTTAGCAAGATGGACTCTGTGATCGCCTTCTACCAGGCTCCTCTCTTGAACATACTGAAAAAGAAATGACACTTTCTGTATCTAAATCCGAACACACTCCTGGGAGCTAATCATTCTGCATTTAGCTCACTTTTTGCTAGCGCGAGAGCTAATTTAGAGGTCTTCATCTTCACCGAGTGCTCAACAGCGCAAAGAGATGAACTCAAATGCCTATCTGTCACTCAATCAAGGATCTGCGTTCAAAAGGAAGTTGGTCATTGCTCGAGTGACTGGAAATGGGAAGTAGATGATTAATAAATTCTCGCTTACTGAACCATCTTATCTCATCTCGACGTTTACATGGCTACTTGAAAAGACTCGTAAAATGAGAACACCTTGTGTAAATGTTTGATGTTGGATATTTGTAGTATGTAGTTAGCTCAGCTGCTTTCTTTGTCACAACCCCCTAGCTCCACCCCATCGTGGTAGCAAAAGCCGCACTCGACGATGGCTCCCCTCAAAAGACCCTAATTTCGATCAGGCTTTAAAGAGGGCTGTCATCTTTTAAACTTTCGGTAAGACACCTGAGAACTGTTTTAAATTATGTCAGTGATGCGTTCTATGTCTCCTTTTAACAATGTTGTTGTTATTGTGGTTGCGGTTTCAAAGTTTGAGAACCAAAAAAGCTGCATAAAAAAAAAAATACATGTTTTTTTTTCTGTCACATTTTTACTGTGTCCCTTTGTTGTAGGTGCATGAGGCTTTGCTTTGGAATCCTGATGTAAAAAGCCGTCAAGCTCATGGCACCTCCCAGTTGACACCATGGCCCAGATATCGAAAGGTAATGGGTTTAAGCTGGATGTCCCCCAGCCAAAGGGGCTTGTGGGTAAAGAGGAAGCCCTTCGCATGGAAGAAGAAGCTTTAGCAAAGCTCCAAAAGGACAAGAAGCACACTTTTTCCTCCTCTCCCACTCGGGGGTCCTCCCCCAAGCCAAACAAGCCCAAGTCCGCAACCGTTGCTTCCACTCCCGCATGTTCTCAACGTTTGCCTGCCGCCAAGAGACCAGAAAAGGACCTCATTGTGTTTCCTGAGACCAAGAAGCAGCCAGAGGCCAACAAGTTCAGGGACATCGATGTGGACAAGCTGACCAACGAGGAGCTGGAGAAGCTCCTCTTAGATGAAAACTTTGGGGCCAACAGCAAAGTATCGCGCCCGTCGTCCCTGCTGGGCTTCAACCTCAGCGCCTCCTACCCCGGTGGCCATACGTGTAGCTCATCTCCTTTCCAAGGTTCCCAGTGGACGCCCATCCTGTCCACTCCGTCGAGTTCTGCTGTGTCCACGCCCACCCATCAGCCGGCACCCTTGTTCCCTTCCGCCCCGTTCCCCAAGCCAGGGACGTTTCAGAATGGCTTCACTCCAGCCCTGTCGCCCTTCATGGCGCTGCCCGCCCAGCAGACGTCTTTCTTGGCCTTCACTCCCATACAACCCGCCGCCACCGCCGCCCCCACCATGGTGTTCCCTCCGCCGCCTGCCGTGGACCCCGAGATGGCAAAACTCTTTGATAAGATTGCCAGCACCTCGGAATACTTGAAGAACGGCAAGGCGACCTGCACTGACCTAGATTCCGCTCCGGCGTGCTCTGCCTCCCTGGCACCCAACCCGGCGGCCCAGCAACAGGCGGCGGCGGAATCCACGGGCATCGGCCGCTTCGACTGGCTGGATCTGGACCCGCTGACTAAGCGCAAACCCGACAACGAGGAAGCGGGCACCACGCCGGGGGACGATCCCGATGCGGCGCAGGGACTTTCTGCTGGGGATCCCTGGGACGCAGTGCTGGAGACCGAAGGGAAAAGTAGTAGTAGCAGTCACCCGCTTGAAGGGAAGGCATCCGGGTCAGCCCGATCGCAACAGAGGAGGGCGTCGACTGGGGCCGCTGTTACGAGGAGCCACTCGCTCAACATTCCAGGAACTTCCTCGCAACATAAAGCAAACAGTCAGGTAGGCACGCACGCACAAACGCTTCTTTACTTGCGAACATTCTTGTTGAAACCCTTTTGACACGAACTGTTCCCCTGCTAATCTATTGCAATTGATCATTTTTGCTCCTGCTGTATTGCATTTTTTTAAGTGATTTTTTGATTTTTTTTTTTGTTTGTTTAATCGACTTTTTACATGTGGCAAAGGAGAGCCACAGTGTGCTGTGATTCTAAATAATTTTACGCTGCACGGCGCGACTCACTTCACCGCGGCCTCTATTTGTAATCAGGTGATCAGGTATTAAAAGGTACTGGAATTCTGAATTTGGGAACTGGAAACCACGCAGGTGATGTGAACCATTATTGATGCCTCAAAAAGAAACGTTCCGTCATTAGCTTGCACAGTCTGTTGCTGTGCCGTAGCCCTGGACAGTGTTGTATTTTTCATTTATTTCATGGATAACCGCTTCAAGATGCATCTTCTCAATTTCAAGGGGATCCTTACAACACATCATCACCAGTTGGGCAGACTGATGCGTTCAATGCCGTGTTGTTTTCAGAACGTCGCGCTGATGAATAAAGCGAAGTTGGTACCGCGCTGGTAAAGTGGCATCACATCAGATGGTATAGTCTTTGTCCTATTCGTGACCCTAAAATGGATGGATGAACATATCATTACAGCCAAAGTGAAACGAAAGCGCATCTACTTTTGTATTGCAATGCTGGTCACTCAGCCTCCCAAAACGTTTTACTACGAAACCCATCAATCTCGATGTTCACATACTTATTTTAGAATGAGATGGCTTGTTTTTTTTCCTCAATCTGTGGTTACAAACACAAGTCATCTGAGGTCTTGTGAGGAATATTTAGGACATTGCCTCAGGACATTGCTGCGGGTGAGTAGCAGCGGGTAGTTCTGCAGTTTTTTTTTTTTTTTTTTTTTTTTTTTAAACCCAAAAGACCAAATGACTATGTGCTGTTTTGTGGCGATTTTCGCTTGGTTTTTTGTGGGGGTTATGCCATATACAGAAATGGTCATTTCTGCAATGGTTTGAACTGAGTGCATTAATATAAAAACAAGAAAGGGATGGTCTCTTAAAATAGTCACAGGATGGATGGACAAAAAGCACTGCTTATTGTTCATCTATGTCAACGCCCAACAATCGTCTGATGTGTAGTTTCTTCCCCTGGTGATATTTAACTAAACTGCACTGTCAAGGATCAGTTTTACCCCAACAACTTTGCTGAATCTGAGCTCAGTTATTTAAAATGAGTATCAAGTCACTTGCCTTAACCGACCTTTCATGGCAAGAGACGTGTCAGATGATCACCACGGCGACCAACATGTGGCAGCACAAATTTAAATCGTGCAGTCATTTGAACTTTCAAGTTTTGCGCAGTTTTACTCAATATTTTGGTTTGCACTTCACGATGTGTCGGAGTTCAAATTTCCTGCCAATGTTGGGTAAAGCGGCGTAACTCTACTCAAATGAATTTCACAAAATTTGGGGTATAATCGTTTGTCGTTACCTCGGCAATCGCGTTTTGTGACGTCACTAATTTGCCGTCATTGAAGGACCAAAGTAAACACATGATGGTACATATAACCGAAAAATAACCGTGATAGATTATTTATTTAGTTAGTTAGTTAGTTCGCTCTTAAACTGCTTCTGGTCATATCCGAAAGCGCGCTTCCAAATGATGCCACTCGCTTTAAATGTAGTCAAAGTGCGATAATGCATCACTGCCTCAGATGACGCACCTCCCTGAAGTGTCAGCAAAATTTTAGTTTAGGACAGACCACAAACACAACAGCAGTTTTGCCATCGCAGACGGATCGAGCGTGTTCCCGCTTGCCAGTCTGCCTGTCGAAATGTCTTTGTGCTGATCTTAATCTGCTTGGGCAATTTCATCTTAAATTCAGTGAGCGTTGACGTCAGCCAGAAGTACAATGAACCGTCTGAACTTGCATCTCCCACACTTGCAGTCTCCCCCCCCCCCCCTTCTCCACCCCCACGCCAGACTCTTCTGATCTTTTATTCAATACCCTAATTACACCTTACGTATGCTTGCAGTGCACTTAGCAGAGTGGATGCTTGCCGTTGCTGTGCCGGGATGTCAACAACTGTATGCGTCACTTCACAGAAAGCATCAAATTTCACCTTGTTTACCGGCCAAGAGATACAAAAGAACATTAAAAAAAGATCAACAGCAGGCCAGGCTTCTTACATATTAGGTGGAACATATTTTACGCATTTTTTTTCTCGTCCTTGCTCTTTGTTAATGAAGCTAAAGTCTCTCTGCGAAGATTTGAGTCCATCGCACGAAGGGCAAATTGTACCCCACGTTCATTTCCTGATCGAAAGAGGAAGCCGATTTGTTTTGAGTCTCGCTGGTTCCTCCGATGACGGAACGAACAGCTTGCAACAAGCACTTGGATGCATTGACGTGCATGTTTGTGAACAAGACGCAGATGTTTTCTGCTGACTTCTTTGTCTTCTTTTCAGCCATTGTTTTCATCCATCATCAAAGTGGATAATGAACTGCTAGAGATGCAAATCTATTGATTTTTGTGTGATCTCCGACTCCGTGTTGACAGGGCGCGTGCGTGCAATGAGTGCGCGCGCGAGTGTATGCGTTTGCGTGTGGCAACGGGTCGATCGCGGGATGTTGGTTTACTTGAAAAGTAGATCTTAAATGTTGGGCACGCTTGGTTTAGCTTGCTTAACATTTTTTACTGTATTCCACATACAAAAATAACCACTGTGACGTCATGGGTTTGATTTGAGAGATATTGCTCTTAAATTGATCCCAATTTTAAACAATTCTGCCGAGTCCCATCCATTGTGTTTGTATACTTCTTGTTAACATGTCCCCTTGAAAGTATGATCATATCGGAAATATATTTGGTCACAAGGTGCTATTTTGCGCCAAACGTACATTTGTCACGCACAGCGCTTCCGCCTTCTGACCGTGATGCCCCGCCCACTTTGTCACATTCCCAACTCATCGTGTGAACACGAGCCTTCCCCACGGTCGGAGTCTTCATCACTTTGCACCAGCGGCACCGCGACACATCACAGTGATGAAAGGGACAAGGCTTTTTTTAGCCAACGTGGGAATCACATGAGCGCTTGAACAAAGGCGGGCCTGTCTCGCTGTACGCTGTTTGTTTGATTCAGCCTGCGTTTGTTTTTGCTTACAATATGTCGTTCGAAAAAGCTCCTGGGCAACTTTTACAAATTGTCACCTCAGCAGCGGTAATTTGCGACGGCCGACCGAATGTGCGTGGCATGTCTCTCTCTTCCACGCGGCGAGACGCAGCTCCGCTGTTAAAACTCCGCGATGTGACACGCTGAGATTTTTGCCGTCTCCCGGTGTGACCTCAGGTCGCCTCAGCCTACACGGAGCTCAAGACGTGGTTCACTATACCTTAGTAACAATGTGTGCTGCACATTTGGGAAGCACATTACGTTTAAAAAGGGATGTATTTAACATTTTCATGCACCAATAATGATAATCTGATAACATAACCCCTCCACTGTAGTAGCCACTGTCCCTGAAACATTTTCATAGTTGCGTTGACCTCTTAAAATAAAATTACCTAAATGTTGCCTTTTTCTTTGTCGTTCTTTTCAATAATAAAAAATAATGGGGGGGAATCAATATAGAGTATATCGGCCACTATGAAATACTTATACTGTATCGTGATATACTTGAGTCATATCGTCTAGCTCAAATTATTCACTTGCAAAGAAAAAAAAGTTTGAAGAAGAATTAGACCAGATTATAATGCCTAGAAACAACCACTGGCACGCTTTCAATTGCTTTATTTCACAAACTTTCAGAAATAGAAATTCCCACACAAGCTGCCAATGACCACAACTTATACCGAGTTACTCAACGCGTCCAACCAACTCGTCACGCTCATTTGTCGACTCCCACATCACCCGCATTTCGTAGCTCACTTTTTGTATTTAATAATTTTTGAGGATGATTAATCAATGGAATAATCGGTAGAATATTCACTCCTAAAATATTTGAAAGCTGCGGAACTGTGACCTGTGACCTTTTTGCTAGTGGTAAATGGGCTTTTACCAACACAGTGCTTTTCTACCTACAGGATACTCAAAAGCACTTTAACGCTGTCTCCTCATTGACATCGTCCGTCATTGAAAACAGGCGACAGCAAATATGCCTCAAAGGAACAAACAACAGCTCATGACAAAGCCTCATAAGATTCTATTTTAAAAGTGTTTGACAGGGTTCACGATGAACTGGATGACCCGATGTGTCTTTTTTGTGTTATTGTGACACGCTTGCAGTCCAACTCGTGCTTTTGCGTGTTAAATCAAGTAGTTTCTAATGGGAGGAAATGACGATTGCATCCCCATTCCAAGCATTTCTACAACCCCCCCCCCCCACACCCCCCTCTTCTTTTTACTCCCCCTCCTCCTCCTGGTCCTCTTTTCCCCTCACCAGCATTGATGTCGTAGTCACACATTCCCAAAGCCGTGACTGAGCACTTTGCAGAGCCGGGGCTCTTTGCGCTGTGCATTTCCTGTGCCCCGGGAAGTGCATTCCTCGAGTCAGCCTGTTCCGTAAAATAGCACCAAGTGTTACTGCAATTTCCCGGCAGTAAGCCGCTTATCTTACAAGTGTGTGCGTGCTTGAGAGGAACCGGTTCCAGGTTTCCTCGCCAAACGCTATGGAGATTTTGTCTGAATCATTCAGGCCTTTTTAATCCCGCCTAATAACAAATAAATCATTGCCTTCTACAATTTGGAGCAGATGAGTAAAATAAGATGTCACGCTCTAATTCACTTTATTCATAGTCATAGTGCGCCATCAACATTCTTGGAATTCAAAACCCTGAAAGCTGACATCAGAGCGGTGGTGTATTCAAATTCTCATCTGGGTTGTTCCTCTTTGTTTTTTTTTTTTTTTTTTTTTTTTTTTTTAGTTTTTTGAGTTTGTGTTTCTAATTCCTCCACTGCGTGTACGTGTGTGTGTGTGTTTTGGCACAATCAGGACAAGGGCAAAGGAAAAGGTCTAGTGAAGAATGATGCCCTGGAACAAGAAGACGCTCAGAACCTGGAGGTGGTGGCCTTCTGCAAAGACGTGGCAAGGTATGACGTCGAGGCAGCATCGCTGGATCTTCATTGGCTGTTGAACTTTATACTGTACATCAGGGGTGTCAAACTCATTTTTGTTTTGCGGGCCGCATCGTAGTTCGGGTTTCCTTCGGAGGGCCATACTGACTGAAGTTCACAGTGTGACGTCAAATAAACATGCCACAATTTTATGAAAGACTAGTTTTGAAATCGGGGACCGGTAATAATGTTAAATTCGTTTTCTGATGTTTAATTTGTTTTGAAAGAGTGATTGGAAGCAAAGAAATTCTTGCAATATCCCAACATTTTTAAAAGTGAAGACCATTTGCATTGTTGGTATTTATCAAGAAACATGACATTTGATACATCATTTGCTTTGGCGGGCCACATAGAATGATGTGACGGGCCAAATCTGGCCCCCGGGCCTTGAGTTTGACACCTGGGCTGTACATGAATAGGGACAGCCCTGCTGCAAACGGACCAAAACCTCAAGTACTTGATACCCTCCCCAGGAATGTTTATAATAGCCTTTATTCATACACATTTTTTTTTTTTTGGGTCCCTTCTTGCAGCCTGCGCTCCACATTCCCTCACGACGATACGTCCACCAACCCCGGCTACTTCCGCAGTCCCGTAATCGCCCAAAGGGACGCTGGGGGGGACACCAGCTGCTCCGTAAAGGTGTCCATTGAGATTTCGGACTCTCAGCAGCCGGTGACCTTTACCTGTGATGGTAAGTTCCGAGAGGGACAAAATGTTTGATCCCTCGATGGCATTTGTTCCCAGATGATCTTTTATGACATTGACGTCAGTGACTGCATGCTGATTAGGAGGAAATTGGCCAAATTCTTCACCCCCATTTTTGTCTTTTTTTTTTTTTCCACCCTCTGCCTCATGGGAAGTACACGGCGTTCCTGTTGCGTAGAAATGTATTCTCAGTTGGGAGAGTCTCTGTTTTCGACTCATCTCAAGGCCTTCGAAAAATTTTGTTTTCCTTCCCAGGAGAAACTGATTGCAGCTGACACCTCACACACCCCCGACACCAAGCTCACTCCTTGGCCTGTTCGGTGATTTGAGCAGGGGTACAAAAATATTTAAAATATAGTTAGGTTTTTAAACGCACCTCCTGTGTCTTTCTGGCTCTCTGAAGATAAATATTCAACCTCTTTGTTTTTGCCTGGTGTGTAGAACATACCATCAATCCTGCTGACAGCTGAATTCCAGTTCTTTTAGGCTTCAGCCGCATCATGTGTTGCATCTGACCGACTGACCTACTGTTCGCTTGCTCAAGAAAAAGAAACTTCCTTCCTTCCCAACTTCTCCAAAAGCACTTTCCCGGCTTCCCCATTTCGCCTCGTCATCCTGCCTATGTTGACTTCCAAATGGTCTTACCTCCTTTTTTGGGGATTTTACGGAGCGGATATTTTGGGACCCTATGCACTGGAAATGCCGTGAAATGTGTTCCTTACTGAAGTGAGGCACTTCGTTTGCCTGAATACTCCCAACTAAAAATGCCCTGCTGGGATCTTTCTCTCTCGCTAGCTCAGGGTCCCAAAATCTGTGGCGCCCACCATGTCTTATCCTGACTGTGAGCTCCAATTCTGGGCTGAAAAGAAATAGCCTCCATTCCTCTGGTGGGTGGAGGGCTGTTATTCCTGGATCCGGGGTGGTCTCCATCTTTGTGAATGCCTCACTTACGACCGCACTTTATCTGGCTTTGCATCCGTACAATAATACAGCCACTTTCAAAAACGCTTACGTCCCAAAATATGCTTCTTTTTTGTCAACAAACCCCACCTACTACACAACTTATGCCGCTAAATACACTTCAGCAACGCTCTGCTGCTGTGACTCACTTCGAACCAAGAACAGGTTTGATTTGGATTATTAGCCCATTCAAAACTTGGCTTGTCCATTAGGAAGGTTGGAAGGAAACGCAAGCGTCCACAACGTCAGAAACACAGGAACGGTTTAAAGAATAATCGATTGCAAGAACGGGATCAAAAATGTTGCCTTTATAAAATATAACTAGATCAACATGGCGGACCACAATGTATCCCACCGGAAATCTTCCTGGATTTCCTCGTGCATTCCAGTTTGAAAGTGGATAGCGAAAGTGAGGCCTCCACCAAGGCAGGATCCGAAACATGCCTGCTGCCTGACTCATTTAATGGGGGGAAAAAAATCATGAGATACCGTTCCTTCCAGTACTCTTGGCGATGGTAATTCTAATTTCAAATTTGTCGACCCAGCCCATGATTAAATTGAAACATAATCTCCCGCTCGATGCTTTTTTTACATTTCGGCAAGGAACTTAAAAAAAATAGGTCAACAACCTAGTGGTAAAGTTAAGTCTTGTATCTGTTGAATGTCACGGGACAACCCTCTTTGGGCTTTAAGTACTTGCGTAAATGGCACCAAGAAGCAAACCGGGTTGACCCGTTTGCATGTTGAAATACCGCATGTGTACCTAATGAAGTGTCCGGTGAGCGTTGCCGCTCAACTCGTGACCGTCGAGTGTAAAATGAACAATAAAATCATTCGCCGCGAAGTTCGATGCGTTATTTTCTTGCCCGCTTCACCCACTTTCATGTGTTTACTAAAACAGGAATTGGTTCTTTTCTAAATCATGTCCACCCGCATTGCCACTTTTCTTATCATCTGCTCATCAATCGCTCTTTTTTCACGCCGCAGTGAATTCTCCGGTGGAGCTCCTGATCAGTCAGACCCTCTGCTGGGTTCACGACGACCTGGACCAGGTGGACTTCTCCAGCTACCTCCTCAAAGTGTGCGGCCGGGAGGAAGTGCTGCAGAAGTGAGCTAGTTTCATGACGCGACGTTGCACTTTCACTGACGGTTGTCTCATGGCGTCATTCCGTTTCCCCATCCCGATTAATAAGCGTCCATTCATTATTAAGGCTTAGCGTAACCTTGCATCTGTGTTGTCCCGCCACGCAGTAAACACAGCCTGGGCAGCCATGAGTACGTCCAGAACTGCAGGAAGTGGGAGAATGAGATCACATTACAGCTTCTCTCTCATTCCACCATGAGACGGGACTTGGCTCGAACTGTAAGTCATTTCCATGTCCACTGAAATGTCCTGTTTAACCGCTCTCGCAGTCCCATCAGTCATCCTCACTTTCAATCTGGCGATCCTACTCACCTCGTGTTTAAAAAAAAAAAAAAAAAAAAAATACAATTCCATGATCAGCTGCTTAATCTTTCTTGTTTTTTTTTTTTGTGCCAACTCAGGTGGATGATGACAACGCGTCCATCAATTTGGAGAAACACCTAAGCTATGTGGAGCGACCATTTAAGGAGACCGCCACAAGGTAAGAGGGCCGTAAACTCGCGTTAGTGAGGAAGATGATGTGATCCTGGAAATGGTTTGGAATGGGACAAAATAGTGTTGGAATACTATCACGTTCGATGATGTTGAAGGAAAGAGTTGTAACATCATGGAAGCTGTTCCAACATTGACTCGATCAACCCGAAGGCACCGGTTTTGCAATGTTCACTGGCAGACACCAAAGGACTTCAGGGGAGGTTCAGCAGCTTGAGAAAAGTAAAATCTGAAAAAAATATTCTGCAGCCTCCTCTACATAGTACCGGTATAATACTTACTACTTTCTTCATCCACAAGGGCAATTTACTGTTCTAGCCATCTCCACAATAAAAAAAAAAAACAACAAAAAAAAAACAATGCAAGGCAAAGCAGGCACAACAAATTATTTACAATACAATAAATAAAAAAACATCTCTGCACAAGTTCAAGACTGCCAACAAACTTCCTAAATGAATTGGGAACGTTCTTTTTCTTCTACTGTAAATGGACATAACTTTTAACTTTCCCTTTCCCTCTGTGCCTCCAGACAAGGTCTGACCGACTACCTGGAAGGTTATCACAACCAAGTCAACATCTGCCTACAAAATGAGGTAGTGCGGCAAGTCTGGGATGAAAATGAAAGCTGAACAATGTACATTGTTTTTGATTCTTAGCAGGACATGCGTTTGAAACTCTTGTAAGAATGAATTCACTTGGGCCACTCTGCCTTTGCTGTACTCCTTCCTCGTTCCCCCTCGTTGAGCTTTTGAATACGGTCAAGCTCATGACTTATTAGCTGTTAGAACACCCAAGGTAACACGTCTGCATCTCTAAATTCAGAGTACCCAGTACAAGACTGTGGACCGGGTGGTGCAGACGGTGAAGAACTTCTGCTGCGCTCTGGATGAAGTGGAGACTCAGGCTATCGCAGAGGCCATCAAAAGACTGCGACACTCCGTCAACCTGCCCAGGACGCGTTCGCCGATGGTGGGCTTTAAAGCACGCACACGCACACACACACACACACACACACACACACACACACACACACACACACACACGTCATAGTTGTTGATGTGTGTGTATATGCTCCTTGAAAATGATCGTGCCTTACCTTTTAGATGGGGTCCCCATCATCTGGGCAGACAGCAAATGGTAAGAACCATACTCACTGACAAATTGCATTGAAATGTGCCGCCTGCGTTTTTTTTTTTTTTTTAATAATCACGAACGGCTCTCAGTGTTGTTTCGAACTTTAAGGGTTTACCAAACTTAAAATAAGTGCAGAGTGCTGTAAACAGATGCAATCTCAATGAATGAGCATTTATTTTAGTAGTTTAATTCAAAAACTTTTTGGGGGGTTGCGGTGGCGTACAGCCAACAAGAAACCTGAATTCACCATCTCACTTGTGCATTATTTTAATCATTGATTCATCTGAATTACACTTACATCATATTTTAATTTCCATCCCGTTCTTTAAAAACAGGACATAAATCATTTTGAGAGTGTTTTATGTTTTTACATCAACATTTATACACTTGATCCGAATCATATGTTTTGGGAAAACAGGGGATGCCCTCGCTTGACATGGTAGAGAAAAACGGAGCTCAGTTTTTGATTCCGCACCTCAAAATTAGTTTAAAACAGCAATTGTACTCCCCAGTGTTATCAAAAATAATTGTAATTTAATTTAACAATTGATTAAGTAGGTGATTAATCGTTACACCCCTAATTTGTCTTCATATACTTTGCTAAATAATTTCACAAATTTATTGTAAATAGAAAATCGGAAAAAAAATTAAAAATTAAAGTGAATTCGGCAATTTTACAAAAACACAAAATTAAAAAAAATAGTTTGAATTCTATTCAATAGTACAATTAAAATGACAGTCATTAGTTTATTATCACAATAAAATAAACAGTGCTGCCTACAATTTAATTGAACTTTAATGAATTAATTAACCTCATCTACAAATGACCTGGCCCATCTGTCCCTGTTAAAAATCAAGTTTTCCTACACCTGCTGCCTTTCGTGAACCTATTTATTCAGATTTGCAACAAATATAATGACTGGGAGATGCGACCCCCTCCACAGCAGTCAAGTACAACTCACAACACTGAATCCATTTTTGACTCCTCATCAGGGCACGCCAGCCCAGTGGACGAAAGCATGGCGCTGCTCACCCAGGCCGTTTACGACTTGGCCAAGCTCTACCTGCGCTCCTTCTGCGCGCCTTCCACCTCCATCAGCTCGCCCTCGCTCAATGGCGAAACGGCAAAGGAGCGGCGGAGCAGCAAAGAAGCCTCCGGAACTACGGACCACCTCCAGTTCACCGTCTTTGCCCTGCACGGCATCCCGGCTAACTGGGTCAGCAGGTAAACACAGATGCATATGGATTTAGTACTAAATGGCTGGTATGTACATCATATCAATTAGAATAAGTGATGAGAGGAAAAAATTCTGACATCTGTTTTCAAGGCACACATATTAGAAAACCACTTCAGCGTTGCTTCCCCCAGCTTGTTTTTTCCAAGCTGGTGTCGGATTTCAACCTGGCTTTATCTCGCGCATGCATGCGTGCCTGGAACGAACACGGACAAATTTTCCATTCCCAACTCTTGTCGCGCATCTGTAACCACAAAAGCAGCAGTACCTTGGTGGCCACAAAAGCCTGCCAAGGGCACAGAAAATGTCTGTGACTTTATTTTAAACAACGATGTGAATTTAGAAACACAATTGTGATGTCACAAAATAACTAGAATGAAAATCAGATTTGAGTTCTGACATGCACCCAATGTATCCCAATCTTTCTTTTTTTTTTTTGCCATATTTTGCTTTTTTTTTTTTTTTAAATCTCATGGCACACCATGAAACAAAAATGTAATATCAACGATATCTGCTAAAATCATGATGAGCTCATCTCAATTTACTCTCAAATGTATTTACTCCTTGTCAAATCTGTTCAAGGCTCTTGTTCTGTTGGATGAATGGCAGGTGGACGCTCAGGTTAAATGTCATGTCGCTTCATCAGCTTGTCGAAGAGCCTTTCATCCTCTGGCTGTCACTGTAATTGACAAACTAATTAAGTAGAACCAAATCATTTCCCACGAATCATTGCCTAAACCATGTAAACTTGTGGAACTTTTTACTCAGTAGCAATTTCCATCCTAATAACCGGCTTCTGCATACTCCATGCCTGGTTCTATTTTAAGCCGGTGGCAAACGTTGCTGTTTTTCCATCCACAAAGGACTAGCCAGACATTTTTGTCCCATGACGCTGTCTTGTTGGGGTCGCGTTGTGTGCGCGTTTGGCTTGTATGTCACCCATCTGTTGCGGCCACAGGGAAGGCCCGGGCAAGTGACTGAGCCGCCAACGCAGATGCCACGGAGCGCAGAATTTCACATTTTGTTTCATTTGTGACACTGTTTGAGATCTCAGCATCGGGTCTGAACTTGTATATTATATTTATTCAGTGTGAAGAAATTAATATACAGGGTGGACCAAAACGTAGGTATACACTTGTTTGAGGACGGAGGGAGGGAAGGAAGGAAGGAAAGTAGCGGTATCTCCCTCAGGTCAACATGCCACAAACCCTCACCCAGAATTACAACCCCAACACTGGCTTTTAATTGAACACAAACTGTAGTTTGAACATCTTACCCTACCGTAAAACCATGATTTGAAACCCTTTACTTGAAGGGTTTGGCAAAAGTTGGAATGTTGAAGGAGGAAATGTCCAGCGTTTCCGAGCGCAATTTGTGTTTCGTAAATGTCATTGAAATCAGTATATAAAAGTGAAAACGTGTCAGGGTGATGAAACTGCAATATACAGAATCCCTGTCTGGAGGTTGCTGCACCCACGCACGCATGTTAAAATTAGACTTGTTCTCAGGTGTATGTGGGCACACGCGGATGTCTAAGAGAAAACAAAGGAGCCTTTGTGGGGATATTGGCATCAGCATTGTCACTGACTGCTTAATAGCGCATTGAGGCCACACTTGTCTTAAAGCATATTAATGAGATGCCACAAAAGGCTAGCAATAAATGTCCTGTAATGTCATTTTTTTTTGTCTTCCTTTCCCTACAGTTACGAGAAATACTTCCTGGTGTGTTTCCTCACCCACAACGGCAAGAACCTTTTCAAGCCGGTGCAATCCAAGCGAGTTGGCACATACAAGAGCTACTTCTACCACATAAAATGGGACGAGCTGTAAGTGATGAATCCCCGAGTATTTACTTTGATATACCGTTTCTCTCATCTTTTTCCCTTTTTATTGAAGGATAAATTTCCCCATCGCCGTGGCGGTGCTTCCACGGGAGTCCATCCTGAGCCTGACTCTGTATGGTGTGCTCAACCAGAATGCTGGAGGCTCCCCAGACTCCAACAAACAGAGGAAGGCACCGGAGATGCTGGGCAAAGTGTCAATGCCGCTGTTTGACTTCAGACGGTAGGAAATCATCCATCTTGTCACAATTCAAGTCCCAAGTCCTGCACAACGCCGATGATTTGAGACTGGCTGTGCCTCACAGGGTTCTCGCCAGGGGCACCCGGCTGTTGTGTTTGTGGGCGTCTGTGCAGGGAGCCCCCGCTGGCTCTGCGGGCAGCCGCAAAAAGATGCCTATAGAGAGAATTGTGCTGCAGGTTAGTAAGATAGATATGTGCGTGAGTTGCCATTAGGGCAATATTAGATTTTTTTGTCTTTCTTTTTAAAAAAAAATTTTTTTGAAAAACTGACAGCCTTTGCAGATGAGGAAATCTTTCTATATGTAAACAAATTAATTTAATTGACATCATAATACAGTTATTTTTTTATTAACATTTTTATGAAACAATTATTTCATGCAAACATGATAAATGTGTATGTATGATGTAGTTAATTTTACAAATTAATTTACTATTAGCCTCTTCAATGAGATGAAAATTTTTTTATATATTTTTGCGGGGGGGTTCGGAATCAATGCAGCAACAGGACACTGTAAACGCTTTGTGGGCTGGATTAAAGAAGAGAATGTCCTACATATGGCTTGCGGACCATACTTTGTCCAAAGTGGTCTTTTGTTGTTGTTTGTTTTTGTTTTTTGGAGGGATGGGTTGTTTTGTTTTGGGGATTCATAAGATGGCTGCCATGTGTCAGTTGGAATACGACTTGTGAATAACTGAAGGGTATCGCCAACAGGTGGATTTCCCCAACTCTGCGCTGGATGTTTTGTATGTGGGGCCTCAGGAACCTCCCAGGCCAGAGCCCAGCCCAAAGGAGGAGCTTGATCCTGACCTCCGACGAAAACTGGAGAAAATCTGCAGCCGAGCATCCAATTTTGGGTAAAGGAAACGCATCTTAAAAAAACCCCATCAACTTAAAATAACAACAACAAAAAAAGGAACGGCTTCCATACTGAAGTCAGAAAAAAAGAAGAGCATGTTAAGTACTCTACTGATGGTTTAGCTAATAAGATCATAAACAATCTGGGATGCTAACGCCGAAGCACATTTCCCTGTTTCGTGTTTTCTAACTGATCCAGCCGCAGGCAAATCTCCCTGCTGCCCAAAACCACAACTGGCACTCGAACACAGAGCGCTCTCTTATTGAGCCATCGCCGCCCGCAAACGCTTTTTTGCCATTCGTGTCTCCAGCCCATGTGGGCACAAGGCTTTTGTGTTTGCCCTCTTTGTGCGATGGTGTTCGCCTGATCCCAGGAGGGCAGTATATAATTTATACAGGGAGGTCATCTGTAGATGACTGCATCGTATCATCTCAATCACAAAGTTCTATTTATTCTTGAGCAAAATATAAAAAATACTATTTCCCATGGACTCTGTTTGAGTAAATACACTTCCCTGACTCTTACATGGTGATGTCACGCGCATGTCTTGAAACATTCATTGGTCCATGGAGGATGGGTTAACTCATTTCAAAAATCTCTCCAAAAAGGAGAGCTGATTTTAGTAATATAGTCGCTGACATGTGGCCCTCCCCCCTGCAGGCTAAGGCGGGCTGACCACCAGCTCCTCTGGGACCACCGGCTCCACTGCCGGAGGGATCACCCCAGCAGCCTGCCCAAGGTGCTGGCCAGCACGCCCAGTTGGGACTGGGCCAGCATGGCTCACATCCACTCATTGCTTCACCACTGGCCCCCGTTGCCGCCTGTCACTGCTCTGGAACTTCTCGACTCCAAGTATGCGCTGTTTTCCCATTTATACCTCGTATGTATGCCCGTGGGTTTGTGTGAAGTCATCAAATGTGTGTGCAGGTTTGCTGACACCGAGGTGAGGCGCGTGGCTGTCAGCTGGGTTGAGAAGAGCACTGATGACGAGCTGGCTGATTACCTACCGCAGTTGGTGCAGGTACTGCTGTTGACACAAGCTCACCACCCGCGTCCGCCGAGTAACTTTGCACCACAAATTTCTTGGACTCTCCCCACTCACAGGCTTTAAAGTTTGAGTGTCACCTCAAGAGCGCCCTCGTCATGCTGCTGCTTTCCAGGGCACTCGGCAACATCAACATCGCACACTACCTCTACTGGTGAGCTCGTAAACAACAGAAACACAGGACACACACTTTTATTATTGCGCTAGATGAGAGAGGGCAAATACTGGAGCAAAGACAGGAAAAGAAAAACATAATTTATCCTTTGATAAATAGACCATCTGACAAAAATGCACAAATAAAGGTCAAATAAAATGACAGTGCTGCTCAATTTTGACCTGATAGTCGGTATGTCGATATCAAATTTTGGGACATTTAAGAAGAAATGCCTTTTCTTAAATGTGTGATTGACAGGCTGCTCAAGGACGCCGTGCAGGATGCGGCGTGGGGGCGGCGTTACGAGCGCGTGCTTGGCGCCTTGCTGTGCTTGTGCGGGACCAAACTACGAGCCGAGCTGGAGAAACAAACGCAGCTGGTCACACTACTCGGCGCCGTGGCCGAGAGGGTGAGACAGGCCGGCGGGTCCACGCGGCAGGTAAGGCTGTCTTTCTGCCTGCCAGTCATTAAGGCAGTGGAACCGCGAAAGTTATAAAATGCAAAATTCAGTCAGTGCAGTATGACGGCTTGGGTTTGACCTTGGTTTTGGCAATAAAATAGTTTATTCAGATTATTTAATTGTATTATTTACCGGTATCCAATTATTTACAGCGATAATAGAAAAAAAAAATGAACACATGAATAGGACATACAACCAAATTTAATGAACCAATTTCACTGCACAGCTATTTTCTGTCCGTAATTAAATATGACACGCCTCTTGATAATTAATGCTTGGTGGTCCAGATTCATAGAGTGGGCATCATGTGCCCCCTCATGCGTTTGTTTCCCCATCCTTGTCTTCAACACATTGTTGCCAGTGTTTGTGTGCGTTTGTGTTTTCAGGTGGCTCTTCTGGAGGGCCTTGAAACCGTTCAGACCTTTTTCCAGAGAAGTAGCTGCCGACTTCCTCTCTTTCCCAGTCTGGTGGCCAAGGAACTCAACATCAAAGTAAGACACATACGCACAGAGGGGATATATTGAGGCGCTTTTGCTTGAATGTAAAATAAACAAAAGTAAAACTTGTTTGTGTGGGCAGGCCTGCTCCTTCTTCAACTCCAACGCTCTCCCGCTCAAGTTGGCACTGGTTAATGCTGACCCACTAGGAGAGGAGATCAATGTTATGTTCAAGGTACAACACACACACACACACACACACACACACACACACTTGGAAGAAACATGCTAGAAGTCAAACAGTGTTTCAATTATCACATCCCTGGTTCTTGTTACCATTGTTGTCATTAGAACTTATTGTTGACTGTACACTGCTCCCCCTGGTTGCCTGGAGTTGAAATAACAGTCGAACATCTGGACATGCCATTTGTATTATGTCAGTGTATCAGATATGTGTCACTTGAAAATGTACATGTAACTAGAACACGAAATAAATCGGAATCGAGCACTCGGATCCGCAATCGAAATCCACCTCTGCGTATTTGACTGTGATCACGTTAGGTCGGAGAAGATCTGAGGCAGGACATGTTGGCGCTGCAAATGATCCGCATCATGGACCGCATCTGGCTGCAAGAAGGACTGGACCTTCGCATTGTGAACTTCAAATGCATCTCCACGGGCAAGGACAAAGGTAGCAAACAACTTCCAAGCTTTTCCACCTCTTGTGAAAATACCTTTCTAAAAATTGCGGTTGGTGGTCGCAGGGATGGTGGAGCTGGTGCCATCCTCCGACACCCTGAGAAAGATCCAGGTGGAGTATGGCGTCACCGGCTCCTTTAAGGATAAACCCCTGGCCGAGTGGCTACGCAAGTACAACCCTGCCGAGGACGAGTATGAGAAGGTATGCGCAAATCAGGAAATCCATTTGAAGTCCTGTCAATTGATTTGTTTAAAATAGTGTTAATACCTTGAAATTGATTCACATCATGGAGGGTACAGGAAAAGAATAAAACATGGAAAAAGTGAAGCACTGTCAATATCTTCTGGTTGCGCTAAATGTGCTCCCAATGTCCTAATGTTTGGCGCCTGCATATTTCCCGTCTCGCCCTCCTCTTCCCCACTCCACAGGCCTCCGAGAACTTCATCTACTCTTGTGCTGGCTGCTGCGTGGCCACCTACGTGCTGGGCATCTGCGACCGGCACAATGACAACATCATGCTGCGCTCCACGGGCCACATGTTCCATATCGACTTCGGCAAGTTCCTCGGTCACGCCCAGATGTTTGGCAGCTTCAAAAGGTGACAGTGAAGTTTGATTGGGTTGCCATTTTGTTTCAGTCTACTGAATATGCAATTTTTTGGTGTGTTTTTTTGTGTGTGTGTGTGTGTGTGTGTTTTGCCTGCCAACAGGGACCGAGCACCCTTTGTGCTTACCTCTGACATGGCTTACGTCATTAATGGCGGCGAGCGTCCCACCAGTCGCTTCCAGCTGTTTGTTGATCTTTGCTGCCAGGCCTACAATCTCATTCGCAAGCACTCCGGTCTTTTCCTCAACCTGCTATCACTGGTAAACATTTACTTGCTCATGACAGACACACACACACACACACACACACACACACACACACAGACACACAGACACACACAAGGAGTGATTCAGCGCTAATGAATTACCGGCTTTGCAGAGTGGACACAAATTTGGGGGTTTTCTGTGTGGCGCCACCATTTTTATTGTTTAATAAATAAATATTTGGTGGCACCCGCTCATATGTAAGGACTTGGGCTTTTGAGCCGCAGTATCATTGTTCAAGTCCTGCTGTGGACAAAAATATAAAAATGGCAACTAGTTGTTGAGGGGAGATTCTAGTCTGTTTCCTGGCTACTGTTGAGGTGGCCCTCGGAAGGTACCGTCGCTCCCACCCCAGTTCAAGAGGCGCAGAACTGTTTGCACGGCCCTTTGACTACGACATCACTTCTTGCATAGCTGCAGGTGTGTGATATGGTTCTGTAATATACAGCAAGCACACTGTGGGTATCCCTTGAGGAATTGTAATTTGAATCTTAACATTTATCGTTCATCTGAAAATGGCCGTCAAGTGTAAAATCTTGACTCTCACACAGTAAGATCTACTTTCGTTTGAATTTTTCACAAGATGTTGCATTTTTAACGTAGCTCAGCCATTTCCTGACTCGAGTTTTCCTCGCTCATTGGCATCTTTCTATTTATAGCACACCCAGAATGGCGACAGAATGCTGCTTTTAATGATGTCTCACAGCTGCTCATTATGTTGCCACAACAACAATTCATTGTCCAGTTGATTGCATGTTTACGGTTTAATGAATCTGATCATTTCAAAATCACACTTGCGCTCTCGCATGTGGTAACAATTGCACGCACTGAGACGTACAATTATTGCAGGGGTGTCAAACTCATTTTTGTCACGGGCCACATTATAATTACCGTTTCCCTTGGAGGGCCATGATGACTGAAACTACATAAAAAAAAGTCAAGAATAACGTTTTATTCAACTATTGTTTCTGCAACTGTAATGAGGGGCTTGATAACAACAAAATGCTTACAATATGTCATTGATTTATTACAGATTAAAATTTGAAATGTTGGTACACATTTTAGCAAGTATCATGGAAGTGATCATTTTTGATTTGCTTTCGCGGGCCACTTAAAATGATATGACGGGCCACATGTGGCCCTAGGGCCTTGAGTTTGACACCTGCGTTAGTGTCTTTGTTTTGAACGGTGTCTGTTTCATCCTGTCTCAGATGACGTCATCGGGGCTTCCAGAGCTGACCAGCTCGCAGGACCTGAAGTACGTTTATGACGCACTGCAGCCGCACAACACTGACGCCGAGGCCACTATCTTCTTCACCAGGTACGTCAACCCCCTGACCGTCACAGTCGTTTTGAAATGTATCCGATTTTGAAGGCCTTTTTTCACGCTTCGCTTGGTTTTCTCGGTGTTCATGGCGGAGCAGGGTGCAACAATAGCATTGCCACCAGTAGGAGCATGCCCCATATCAGGAAGTGCCTGCTTATCGGCCTACCAGGAAATACCGTGGATTCTTTTCCTGGGCGTCTATTGCTGTTGGCCCTCTGAAATCACTTTGCCAATCCTTCCCCTGTTGGATGCGCCATCTGAAGTTGCCTCGCGTAGCTCCTCAAAGCACATCACACAAAGAATGTGTTCAGTCAATGGTGCAATAAGTGCAGTGTGAAAAGGCCTCCATCCACATTTGGATTTTTTCCCCCAATTCTCCAAATTGAACCAGGCTGCGTAAATCCATTTTAGACGTCGTGAAATAAAAATCCACCAGTTGTGTAAGCTCAAATATACAATTTCACATTTGTTAACAACTTCATAACATCACTGCAGACTGATCGAGTCCAGCCTCGGCAGCGTGGCCACCAAGTTCAATTTCTTCATCCACAACCTGGCCCAGCTCCGCTTCTCAGGTCTACCGGCCAACGACGAGCCCATCCTATCCTTCTCGCCCAAGACGTACACCTTAAAGCAGGAGGGCCGCATTCTCCACGCCTCCATCTTCTCTTTCCAGAAGCGATACAACCCTGACAAGCACTATGTAAGTTTTTTAAAGGAACGTCCTGGGGTAATTATTGGCTTACGTTTTAATTATTATACTTATTATTCTTCCCTCTTGTTCCCTTTGCGCAGACGTACGTGGTGAGGTTGCTCAGGGAAGGGCAGAACGAGCCCCAGTTTGTCTTCCGAACTTTTGACGAGTTTCAGGAGCTCCATAACAAACTCAGTATCCTCTTCCCCCTCTGGAAGCTGCCAAGGTATTCCTCCACAAGCCACTTTTTACATTCTATTCCCTCAGACGTTTTTAAGAGTCTTTGCTTTTTTTTGGTTGTGGGAAGAAGCTAGAGAACATACTGTGAGATCGGAAAAATCAAATGAACTCATGAAAATGTCATCACTGCCCCATCAAGTTTGCTCAATAGTTGTGTATCAGGAGAAATAAGAAAATTACTGAAAGGAGAGAGGGGGGGGAAAAAAGTGAAATGTCATTGCCATTTGATTTTTATTAAAAGCCCCATCAAGCTTGCTCAATAGTTGTGTATCAGGAGAAATAAGAACATTACTGAAAGGAGAGAGGGGGGGGGGAAAGTGAAATGTCATTGCCATTTGATTTTTATTAAAACCATGGGGGGAATGGAAGAGTCGGAAATTCCGTTGTTGTGAAATAGAATTGGGATTTTACTGGAACATGAGTTCAATATTTGTGGCATCACAGACAGTAGTAGGCAGCTAACTACCTCCCTCATGTGGATGAAATGTGCACTACAGACACAAAATCGATTGTTTTTTTTTTTCCCCCCTTTCAGTTTCCCAAGTAAAATGGTGCTGGGCCGTACTCACATCAAGGAGGTGGCCGCCAAGAGGAAGCTGGAGCTGAACAACTACATCCACAACCTGATGAGGAGCTCGGCCGAGGTCACACAGGTACACGCACGCACGCAAACAGGTCAGCAAATTGTTGTCTTTTGTCATCTAACATTCTTCTCTTCTAGTGCGACCTGATCTACACGTTCTTTCATCCGGTGGCACGCGATGACAAGACGGAAGGTTTGGACGCGACCCAAAGAGCTCCTGGTAAGCAGATGCGAATGGAAGGCCTTGATTCAGATGAAGAATCTTTATTTAGTTCTGGGGGTGCAAATTATTTGTACAAAACACTGTTACAAATTTCTGCCAAGTGAAAGTGGAGTCTAAAACCTAATAAACTTTTCGAGAAAAGCAGAAAAATGTCAAAAAGAAAGAAAAATTAAGTCACATAGCTTGCCCAGGTTGTCTTGAATCGCTACTCACCAGACAGGACATTGCAGAATGAGCATAACAAAGAAATCACAAAGTTCCTGGAACATGACTGCATGCGACGTTGCAGCTCAACCACATGTCACAATCTCCTGAGATGCTTATCGCCGAGACAAGCGTCGTCTTGATATACTGGAATACCTGAGGAAAACTGGGCAGAACTAAGAAGTTGCCGGAATGTAAATATGGATATACACAACATTGTGGAATCAAACTCTACTAGAACATTTCGAACTAATTGTTTTTAAACAATATGCCATGTCGTCTTTAATGCTGCGTAGGGAATTCTCCACTCTTGAATTAATTTGAGAGATGTGCTCTGCAAAGTACTTCTTTTTTTTTTTTCTTAGTTATGAGATTCCCATAGCATGAGTAGTTTACTTTTTGTCTATGAGATACTTCAACAAACAGTTACGTTTTGGGACTCTTGTAGAGCCTCCATTGAGTCCAACGTCGGGCCGTGTGGAAGGCGAGGTCAAGCTGTCCATCTCATACCGGAACAGCACACTCTTCATCATGGTCATGCACATCCGAGATCTGGTAAACATGGCGACACGAACGTCACACGTGCCGTTTGAACCGTGTAACTTCTCGGCTCACCCCATTTTCCCCCGCGTTCCATTTCAGGTATCTGAAGAGGGGACGGATCCCAACCCATACGTGAAGACGTACCTGCTTCCGGATCCGCACAAGACTTCCAAGCGGAAGACCAAGATCTCGAGGAAAACCAGGAACCCGACCTTCAACGAGATGGTGAGACAAGTTAGAATAAATTGTAGCGTGATCTTATTAGATTGGACAGAGAGTGCATATTGTCAATTTTCTAGAAGGTTCAAATTTGGGAGCATTTCACATGTTTAGTCACAAATGTAATTCAAAATTGATGCCATGTGACTGACTTTGCTCCTCAGCTGGTGTACAGCGGCTACAGCAAGGAGACATTGGGCCTGCGCGAACTGCAACTCAGCGTGCTGAGTGCCGAGTCCCTCCGCGAGAACTACTTCCTGGGTGGCATCACGCTGCGCCTCAAAGACTTTGACCTGGGCAAAGAGACGGTCAAGTGGTACAAGCTCACTGCCGTGCCCTACTTCTAAAAAAAAAAAAAAAAACCCCACCTGGTTTTTTTTCTGTGACAAAACAACCGCCGCTTCATTTCTTGTCTCTCCTCCTTAACAATGAGCTGTAATGTTTTGTACATTTTGATATTAGAGGACCAAAACTGCTCACCTTCACAAGAGTAAATATAAATAGAGAGAAATAGACACGTTTATTTTTCAAGGACTAGAAGCAAGTTTGTTTGTTTTTTTTTTTTGTCGTTTTTTTTCGTTGTTTTTTTTTTTTTTTTAAATAACATTCTCCTTCCTAAGGGGGCCTCACAGTTTGCTGCTTTTACCACACACACTTTAGGATAGTTTGACACATCAGATTGCACGGAATAAACTACAGGATTCTCTCTGGGGGGGAAAAAAAAAAAACTTTGCTGTTGTACCTGCAGACACTTTGGGGTCATTTAACTCACGAGATCCCAGGCAATGAATTCCAGGATTGTTCCCAGAAATGTCAAATTTGCCGTTTTTATCACATTTGAGGTGGTTTGAGAGAAGAATCCAGGTGTTACACTACAACCACCCTCCCCCCACACCCACACAAATGTGCCAAATTTAGCCGAGGAGAGCAGCAAAATCCGACCACTTCAAGGTGCCTTAGCGACGGCTCACAATCTCTTTTAATGCGGCCTTACTGCTTTATTTATTTTCAATAACCATCTCACAAGAAACATTTAGTCTGGGGATGTCTTTTTTTTTTTTTAGGGGGGGTGGTTCTCGGGTAAAGGTGGGCTTCCACTAATTGCACACAAGCTGGTATTAATGGCAAGATAGCACACTTTTAGGGGCTGTTTGGGATTTCACGTGCAGTGCCTACATGTTCATTTGGAATGTTGCGGGTTTCTCTGAATCAGCACTTTTGACCCACACAGAAAGCAAAAAAAGGGAACAAGAAAACTCACAATAAAGATATGAAAGTTTTAATCCCCATGCAAGTGTGTTTACATATCATGACGATGATGATCATTTATGGAAAAAGTGACACTCACTCTAATAAATATTAATCCCACCTTGGTTAACTCCATTCATGTCTGTATAAAGAGAACATTTGTGTTAATGTGGCCAGTTATTTATTCTTAATTGGTGACATGGATCAGTGTGTAATGCGCCTTTGCCCCAGCACATTCAATGTTTTGGGGAACAAATGGGAGGAAAGTTGAGCCGTTTTGCCTGCATAGGAAAATGTCAGATAATAGTTATTCTCCCTGACCCCCCCAAAATGATTTTTTTGTAAGTGTATGTGAACACACTGTTGCTGAAATATTAATCTGTTGGGTTTGCTATCACAATTTGTCTATTTTTTTTAATTCATTAAAATAAAATGAGGGTTTGTAACTGCATGGGGCATCTGCTTTCATTGAAGCACAACAACTGCAACGTATAATAATTATACGCTAATATGAGTTAAATCCCCTGAAAACAAAATATACTGCACAAGGTAAGACCCACACTAATTTCGTATATATTTGTGCATCAATTTCAAAACAATGAATCAAAACTTGCAACCATGGACGAATTGTGCACAAAACATTTTAACTTTGATGTGCAACAAATGAGTGAGTTTTGACAGAATTAGTATTTTAGCCATATAAACACTTTTTTTTAAACTTTTGGTATAAACGCCCATAGTACTTTATATGGAATAAATCAAATAACCCCATTAAAAAAAAACAACTAAACATAAATCAAATAATGCATTAACAATACTGTATAAGGCACAATATGCTTCTTTCATTCAAAGCCGATTCGTGATAACTCTCAAAGACAGTGGATCGTACAAATACTTTTAGTACTTTTTTGTTTGATTCAATATATTTTGCATACAGATTAAATAGAAGAAATATTTAACATTTGGAAGGGATTTGGAGATTATGTTTCGTGACATAAATTTTGTTTTCACCGATGCTCGGGCAGTTTGTCAGGATGGTTCCGGCAGGTACGACCGGCAGGAGGTCCCGGGAACGACCCAGGACAACCTGGAGAGACTATGTCTACCGGCTGGCCCGGGAACGCATTGGGATCCTCCGGGAAGAGCTGGAAGAAGTGACTGAGGAGAGGGAAGTCGCTTCAGCTTTCCTGCTAAAGCCATTGGCCCCCGTGGATGGAAGTTTTGTATAAGTTTCCAAAATTTAGAGACAATTTCCTGTGACGCCACCCGCGCTTCCTCCGTCACATCCGGCGCAAGCGCAAAGCCCAGTTTTCTGTCTCGTGTGGGGCCTCTCTTCCTCTACCGCCATCATGGGTCGCATGCACGCTCCCGGGTAAACGCGGATTTTTCGCCTTGAAAGTTGATTTTTCCCCTTCAGATATTGTCTTTACCGATACGAGAGTGATTCTGAGCGAATATCGAGCATCAATCGGACAACTTGGAGGCTTAAAAACTGCTCTAGAAGCTAGAAAAAAAAGCATGAGGCAGACCCGCTTTCGGTCGTCTGTTAGCTTCGTGCTAGCTTGAATTAGCCGATGCTTACATGGAGCTTCAATGCTCAATTTGGCAGCGTTGGATTCATGGAAAGCACGCATAGAGATAATTGTCACGTTTACTTATTCTTGGTGGTAACAAAACTTCAAATGTCCCATTAGTAATTTTGTCCTTTGGGGTGGCCGTAACTACCGTGCAGCCCAACCACGATGCTAGTCGAGCTAATTTGTCTTTTTGCTCTACTTTGACAACAAAATGTTTTCTTTTCTTCTCTTCTTAACAGAAAGGGCTTGTCCCAGTCAGCTTTACCTTACAGGCGCAGTGTCCCAACTGTGAGTCTCACACACTCTTGCAAGCTTGATAAACATTTCGTTCGCATCACGATGAAAGGCAGTTTCACGGTAGTTCAAAAAGTAACACAAAAACAAAATCGCATACTTAACACCCAAATTTAGTGTTGGATACTATTTTAATCCCGTGAGGAATCATTTGATTGTCAAAGCATCAGTATCCATAAATGTAACACAAACGAACAGTTAACTATGTGAAAACCAAATACAAAAGCAGCATTTGGGGAGTAATAAAGGATTTTTTTTTTGTTTTATGCAGGGCAAAATATTTTGAAGAAACAAAAAATAGTATGCAGCTTGTTACTGATGGACATGGATAATAATGAAAGTGGATTTTTATGAAGGAAAGTCAGCAGTGACATACATAAAAATTGTGGGATTTTTTTGTTAACTACAGTGGGTATGGTTGGTAATAACAAATTGTCTCAGAATTCACCATTTCATTGTACATTGTAGTTTATCTGTGTACAGTATGTACTATAATACACTTTTTTTTTAAATTTGTTGCAGTGGCTGAAGCTGACATCCGATGATGTCAAAGAGCAGATTTTCAAGCTGGCCAAAAAGGGCTTGACCCCCTCTCAGATTGGTAAGTCAATTGGGTACTGTTCCTTAATTTAAATACATCTTCAGCACACTAGTCATTATATATATGGAATTGATAGAATGTTATGTTTGCTGGTTGTGTATGATCCAAAGCATGTGACTGAAACCCAAATGTCAGAAATCATGACATGGAGCAAAAGCGTAATGTAGAATGTTTGAGAGCAATGCAAGTTGTGTGTGGAATTGAACGAGATGTCACTATTTCAAACGCAACTTCAAGTCACAGTAGTGCAGCATAAATCCCAACACGTCTGATAAATATGACACACATTCCAACTAGTGGCAACACAAACACATGGCAAGGATAGTTGTCCTTGTAACTTCGTTAATTAAATTCATTGTGCTATGCAAAGCCTTCTGTGAATGGAAAATGGAGGCTATTTTTTTTTTTGAACCATATATTTACAGTTCACCTCCACTATTCGTGGTGGATCGGGCCGACTCACCCATAGCACAAATCCACATTTAATTATTGCCCAAATATGAAGGGAGGGAAAGTAATTTTATTCGTTGAATTTTTTTAATTAATTGGGAATCTTTTTTTTTTCTGCACGTACTTCTTAGTCGTTAGTCTTCTTTGGCTTTGTCATTGGGGGCGGCAGCGCGTTCCCTACAACACACACAATGCCGCAATCGGTTTTCTTTCTGATTTATTCTTTTTTTTTGTTCCATCAAACATTTTATCGAAGGCATTTTCTGTTGATATCGAACATGTCAGTGGTGATACATATTTATATTGAGTTATCGCGCAGCCCTATTGTCAGTGGAAAAAAAATACGATTCAGTACCAGTTAGCCCACACCTCAATGGGGTTATCATAAACTTCTCCCGCACGAGATTTTTATGATACTTGAGAATCATATTTTTGTTTAAATTGTACTGACTTTGTGATATACTCATGTTCAATATTAAGAATAATAAGAACACCTTTATTCGTCTCATGATGGAGAATTTCCCAATTTACAGCAGCAAAGTTATGAAAGGAAGAAAGTAGAAGAACAAAAGTGTAGGAGCTGCTGGAAAGCCAACCACTCTCGCGGTGCCATCTTGAAGTCAGAATAACATGATAAACAAATAGTCATACTCTGTTTGTGGTTGCTAATAGCTCATATTTAAGTACATATTCTTTTTTATATGTGTATTTTAGGTGTCATTCTGAGGGACTCCCACGGTGTGGCTCAGGTCCGTTTTGTCACGGGCAACAAAATCCTGAGGATCCTCAAGTCCAAGGGCCTGGCCCCTGACCTGCCTGAGGACCTGTACCACCTGATCAAGAAGGCCGTGGCCGTCAGGAAGCATCTGGAGAGAAACCGAAAGGTGCCAAATTCAAAAACGCTCAGACGTTTACACTCATTCCTGAACACGGCCTGACTTGATGTTGATGTTCGTCCATGTGCAGGACAAGGATGCCAAGTTCCGCCTGATTCTCATCGAGAGCAGAATCCACAGGCTGGCCCGCTACTATAAGACCAAGAGGGTTCTGGCCCCCAACTGGAAGTAGTACGTATTCAGTCGCCTTTGTCTTATTCTCTCAAAACTAACTTAACAAGCCGTGGCACAAAAACATTGTCCTTCTCTCTCTCGTCTTGAGAGTTGTGATATTTCTGTTGTGCAAGAGCAAAACCCGGAGGTAAATTAGCAGAGCGGCTCGCCGGTGTCGCTTTTGCCAGTCCCCTTCGCACAAGATGAATTGTTTATAATCAATATATTTATTAATGTGTATGGTATCCTTAGTATTTTCTAACTGTGTTTTTGTTTCCGTTCACAGCGAGTCTTCTACAGCTTCTGCTCTGGTGGCATAAAAGCTTCAGTTTTCAAATAAATGAAAGTTCACATTTTGAAGCTCCCTTTGTCTTTTTTATTATTTAATATTAAAAGCAACAATGATTAAAATGCTTTTGCTCATCTCTGAGGGACATTTTAGGAATAGATTTTAATGGAGTGTACTAATGCAAGCATCCAATTTCATCAATTCATTTTGGAGGGGCGTTTGTGGTCATAACTGAGCTCAGGGGCCAGTTTACCACAAAAGTGGCACCTAAATTCACTACAAACTAATATTAAATTGTTGAAATCTATATTAAATTCACTAGTAATACTGTGTATGCGATTTTTCTGATTTAGATTATCTTTGATGTCGTTAAAGACAATGTACCAGCTCTCTTTTTGGTTTCAGAGTACTACTACCAGTATTTTATTCCTAAACATTCCTGAACATATGCATTTTTATTAACGGTACACAAATAACGGTAGGGTTTTCATTTCCCCTTTGGTCTTTCCGTTCAGAAGATTTCCTCGGGGTTCGAGAAATTACGTGACTTTCTGAGCGTCATCATGACGTAAGAAAACGAGGGTGTGGGCCTTTGAATAATGACTGACATTCGTTCTGTCCAATCAGATCGCAGCATGGCGCATAACGACGCAATCATCGAAAAGACGAAGGGCAAACCCCGCCTTTAGACTGATTGACAGTTGGTCTGTCCAATCAGCATGCAATTTGACGTCATCCCGTGTATTAAAGCAAGAGCGTAACGACAAAGAGTTATTCGACACAACCAGAAGACGCAAGAAATATGACAAATGAGAAAATGGAGACGCAACAACACGGGAACGCCTGACAAGGAAGCCCAGAGGAAAACATGGCGCCAATTCGGCAGAAAATGAATCGTCCGTACAGTGACATTCATCTCTTTTTAACGCGAAGCCAGCTGGTCTTCGACGAAGAGTATCAGAATACGTGACTGGTTTGTCTTTTCCCCCCCCATCGTCGAAAAATGTCTCCGGAGATGACTTGTGATCGGACAGTAACAACCGCCGCGGCCATGGAGAGGTTGGGCAACCGGGGAATGGCACTTTTGCCTTGGACCAAGCAGATGCTGACAGTGCTGTGGGAGCATCTCTGGATTATGGTTCGAGTCATCTACTGCACCTTCTTGTCTGGTAAGAAGAAAACCCCAAAAGT